CACTTGATGCCGGATTTACTCGTGATCGGAAAACCCGGAAGTGCGCTTTAAATGCAGGTAAAGCCTATATCTCAAGTGCGCATTACTGCACTATCACTCAGAGCACATTGTTATGTTCCTTCACTCATTCACACACATCGTTCAAAGGTAAATGACCCCGACAGATGACAATGCATATGATTTGCTTACTTAGTCCTGTTCAATTATCAACAAAATTGGCTAATTAATAGCATAATGCATGACTGGCAACTACTGCCTGTATTTATTCCAGACACAGATTTAGATAAAGGTAGTCTAATTCGCTTGCCCCATATATTGTTACACTTTCGAGAGGAGCAAAAAGTTTCTGTCCTGGCATTTATGCCACAACAGTTGTACAATCAAAATAATTATCTACATTTGTCATTTCATTTTCTAATGATCTGTTGCTCGGTAAACATGCCTGGTCGAGAATAAATAATAAGAGCAAGCAAGCATGGTCTTGGATCATGACCTAACGACTGACGCAATGGAATAATTATATGGACAGACAAAGCAGCAGTTAGCCCAAAGGCCTGCAGATGGCGATATTTAGTTGTTTCATCTTACTGTCCCAAAGGGAATGTATGCAGTCGGCTGTACACTCGTATCCCCCGTGGGACGGTTCATATATAAAACATCCTCCATTCAGGCTTCAAAGGTGTCAATTTCCTCCTTAACTCAATTTAATGGCAGAAGGTGGAGGAAAAAAAACAGGGAAAATATGTGTGCTTTCTTTATGAAACACAATTTTCCACCACTACGCTACAGTGGCTAATACTAGTCCCGGATGTTGCGTATCGCGTTCAGCCAATCAGACCTGGAGTGAATAAACAGACAGCTGAAACCTGATTGGCTGAATGCCAATTAAATAATGATCAATTTGCCTAAATGGATAATGGAAACACTTTAACCACTTCATTTTTCTTCAACACGGTATGTTTCAGCGAAAAGTTTTTTAATATTTTTTATAGGTGTGACGACATTACGTCCAGCTGTTTTTATCGACAAGCAGAGGAAGAGGCAAAGTGAGAGGGTTTACTTCACCCAAAATCTGTCCATGAAAATAAGACCACAGAGTGAGGCATTTTTGTATGGTCAATGAGAGCGTGTTAAATTTGGTAAACAAAAAATGTAATTGCTAATTTGCTACGTGAGGCTTATTTGATCTAATAGAAGTTTCGTAATGGTTAAGTTGTTACGAATGCACTCACAATACTGTAAGTGGACGCACGTGGCATTTCAGCAACTTTGAAAAAAACAACTTTATATCGGAGTTGTGTCTGTTGTTCACACGGTATCTGTCCTCTCATTGGCACATATATTTCCATTGTTAGAGCAGTCACTTGACTATCTCTAATAGATCATCTTTGACACAAGACAGTTAATTGGAAATGCACCGTAGCAGGCGATTGTGGCATCCTATTTTCTATGAAAACTTTCTAAATGTCGACAAAAAATCACTGGACAAGTCAATGGAAACATAGCTAGGGACTCTCTCCACTTGATTGAGTGGCAACATTTCGGACAAGGATTATGCAAATTGTCTGGGAAACTATTTTTCGAAAACTCTTCATTGTGCTTGAAGAATTACTAAATTGTAGCTACTGCCTACTTAACCTAACATAGCAGGTGTAGAATAGGCGCCTGAGCGGGATCTCGCATTTCCCAACATCTTTGCAAGAACAAGGCATTTCTAAGTGCCGCGGGCGCAGCCACATGTAGAAGACTTCAGACACAAGATTTAGCTCTACCACTGAGGTTCGAGTTTACACGGCTAACCTTTACCATGATTGCAGAAATGTTTAACTGTGCATATCACAGCATACACCATAAATACCAGAGTACAGTACACATTAGACCTACGTTTGGATAGCAGATGTGTGGATTGATTTGCTTAACTTTTTGGACATTGGGTAAGGCGCAAGCTTATAGGGCATAGCCTACCTGTCCAGGCATTTGTAATGTTATGCAGCTGTTCAAATAAAATTGTATTTGTCACATGCTTCATAAACAACAGGTGTAGACTAATGGTGAAATGCTTACCTCCCAACAATGGAGAGAGAAAAAAAATAAAAATATTAACACGAGGAATAAATGCACAATGAGTAACAATAACTTTGCTATATACACAGGGTACCAGTACCAAGTCAATGAGCAGGGGTACGAGGTTATTTAGGTAGATATGTACATAGACAGTGCCTTCAGAAAGTATTCATACCCCTTGACTTACCGAATTTTAAATGGAATAAATCAAAAAATGCTCCCCCATCTACACACAATACCCCATAATGACAAAGTGAAAACATGTTTTTAGGTGTTTTTGCACATTTATTGTCAATAAAATACAGATATCTAATTTACATAAGTATTCACACCCCTGAGTCAATACTTTGTAAAAGCACCTTTGGCGGCGATTACAGCTTTGACTCATCTTGGGTATGTCTGTATAAGCGTTGCACATCTGGATTTGGGGATTTCCTTGCAGATTTTCTCAAGCTCTGTTAAGTTAGATGAGGAGCGGCGGTGAACAGCAATCTGGGCTTTGGCTGGGCCAAGTCTGGCTGGGCCACTCAAGGACTTTCACATTCTTGTTCTGGAGCAATACCAGCGTTGGTTTGGCTGTATGCTTGGGGTCATTGTCCTGCTCTGTCTTTCACATGCCTTTTTTGCAAACTCCAGGCGTGCTGCCATGTGCCTTTTTTTTCAGGAGTGGCTTCAATCTGGTCACTCTCCCATAAAGCCCAGATTGTTGCTGTAGAGACTGTTGTCCTTCTGGCAGGTTCTCCCATCACAGCCATGGAACCCTGTAGTTCTGTCAGAGTGGTCATTGGGTTCTTGGTCACCTCTTTGACCAAAGTCCTTCTTGCCTGGTTGCTCAATTTGGTCGGACTGCCATCTCTAAGCAGTCTGGGTAGTTTCATATTTTTTTCCATTTCCCAATGATGGAGACCACTGTGCTCTTGGAAACTTTCAACACTCTAGAAATTGTTTTATACCCTTCCCCAGATACAGTATGTGCCTCATCACAATTATATTTAAGAGATCTATGGACAGTTCCTTGGACATCATGGTTATAGTTTCTGCTCTGACATGCACTGTCAACTGTGGGACCTTTATATAGACCGGTGTGATTCTTTCTAGATAATAATTTGAATTAGCCACAGGTGGACTCCAATCAAGGATGATCAAAGGAAATTGGATGCAACTGAGGTCAATTTGGAGTATCATAGCAATGGGGTGTGAATACCTATGTTAATGAGATATTTCTGTATTTCATTTTCAATAAATTTGCTAAAATGTCTAAAAACATGTTTTCACCTCGTCATTATGGGGTATTCTGTGTAGATGGGGGAGAAAAAAAATATTAATTTAATCCATTTTTAATTCCGGCTGTAACATGTGGAATAATTTGAGGTATGAATTTGGTATGAATACTTTATGAAGTCACTACGTACGGTCACTGTGGGGACGACGTCGTCATTGCGCTTGACTTTTTCAACATTTTTGTTGTGTTGTAGCATGAGATTTTGTGTCACTGGCCTACACACAATACCCCATAATGTCAAAGTGGAATTATATTTTTAGAAATGTTTACAGATGAATTACAAATTAAAAGCTGAAATGTCTTGAGTCAAAATGTATTCAACCCCTTTGTTATGGCAAGCTTAAATAAGTCCAGGAGTAAAATTCTGCTTAACAAGTCACATAATAAATTGTATGGACTCATAAACCATGGCAAAATTTCTCTCAGCCTCATGGCAAAATGTGTAGAATTGCAGGAAGGTAGCATTAAAACAGCAAACTGCTGTCTCTGTGGCCAAGAGGAGGGCCTCTAAAAGCTTTGGCGCCGTTGGCCATGCCCGCTAACTTTGCCACCGCTGCTGAAAAGAATGCTAGGGAAAACAGTGTCATATGACTCATCCAAACTTTCACCATGTGTTGAAGGATAGTACTGTAATAGAATGTAGCCGTACTGTCTTTTTTGGCAGTACAGTAGTTCAGTTATAGCTGATGCGGAATGTCAGCCTAGGTCTACATTGTTTGGATGTGAAGGATGAACTCATGACAAGCATTTGAAGGATACAGGCCTTTAAAATACGGTACAGAATGTGTATTGTCTAACGTAGCATTTGGCATTATCACTTTGCCCAGCAACTACTGTGCCATCTACAGCTATCCTTCAGTGTGTCTTGGTGAACTGCAGTCCATATTTTCTGCTGCTGCTCCACTGTTAACCATTTCTCAGCACTGTAGACTAATGAATAGAGTGTGTGTGTGTGTGTGTGTGTGTGTGTGGAGGGGGGTTCTTACAGGCTGATTAGACTTCAGCAGGAACTGAGGACACTTTGGCCCTGACAGTGTGTGTGTGTGTGTGTGTGTATGATTCATGTAGGCCTATTTGTGTGTGTGAGACCCAGCTGATCCCAGCAGCAGTCAGTAGATCAGAGCTCCGTCGCTATGGGCGATAGGCTGATTAGGGGTGTAATGAAACAAACTGTGTCCTAGCCGTTGGGGGTGCCACCTGCGCCGCTGTAGAGGAAGGGGAAACGCTGCTGGGAGAACTAATGGGATGATCTTCATGCAGAGGAGAACTACCTCTCCTCCCTCTCTTCCACAGTAGGTGTGTGTTTGCTGTGTTCGCTTTGGTGAGATCATCTCAGTAGGTGTGCGTGTTGTGAATGACATTGCTTGAGTAGGTGTGTGTGTGTGTTGTGGGTGTTCTATGTTAGGCCATGAGTCATCAGGGCTCCCTCCACAGACTTTCTATGGGATTAAGGTCTGGAGACTGGCTAGGCCACTCCAGGACCTTATTGTGCTTCTTCTTGAGCCACTCCTTTGTTGCCTTGGCCGTGTGTTTTTTTTACAGTGAGCTCACTTCTGGATCAATACATTACCCACCCCCGAAACACATACGCACTCCCTCCGTTTTGCCTTTGATGTATTGACATATCCATCCCTCTCTCTCTCTCTACCTTCAGAGTCTGGATGCCAAGTCTGGGGGTGATGGAGCTGGGTAGGCAACTGTGTGGGAAGATGAGGAGGTCGAGGAGGGCCGAGGGCCCTGTCACTGTGCCCATGAGGGGTCTGGAGATCCATTTTTACCTGCCAGATACTCACCAGCTGGAGTTCCTCAAAGACAGCTTCACTGCCGAGGAACTGTGTGTCGAGGCCGCCAAAAGATGCTGTAAGTACTTTCTCACCTCCTGCCAAGTGTGTGTGTGTATTGTATGGCATGACTGCAAGTGGGTATGTGTTGCATGCCTAACTGCGTCCATCCGTGTATGTGTGGGTGTGTGTGCCTGCGTCCTTCCGTGTGTGCATGCATGCCAGGGCATTAAGTAGTGTGTGTTTGTACGATTGGATTGGGGGAAGTTTTCAGGAACATTCGGAAGTTATACATCTTCAATGTGGTCATTTAGAACTAATTGGGGATAAATGTGGTGACCTATCCTGATAGAGCCGGTCTGCCAACAGAGAGGTCCACTGTGCCACTGTGAATAGGCCCTGTCACATATGATTACTGTTAGCTAGGAGACCAGAAGGAGAGATAATAAGTAACTAAGGAAGAAATTGATTTTTAATAGATGTTTCATTTCATTGTGTGTGCTGCTCATTTACGTCATACAGTAGGGCCTGGCCTATACGACATGGGATTTGAAAATATTACTTATGAAGCTTTGTTATATTTCCTACATGTGTTTGTCAGTGGATTTTCTTTTTCTCAATGCTTAAGATGTACTGTACATACAGTATATATTAGATAAGAAACGCTAAATCCTAATATGAGGAACTCTAGAGTCGTTCAATGTCATTTAAGCAAGCCATGACAACCACCATCTCAGATTATTCTGAAATTGTTTCTATAGTTAGAAGTAGATAAGATTAATGCAAGCAACTTCAATGGCTAATTTCTCTGAACAGGGGAAACAAATCACAAGATTCACAGGGAATACATTACATAGGATGAAGAAGCAATACTCCAAGCCGCAGCTCCATAATAGCCTACTTGTCCGACATAGAGAAGTGATACTCTATACTGGTTGTTGGGGTGGGATTGGCATGGGGGGTCCGTGGGTGGCATTTGATCATTTTATTGGATTCCTCATGTCTTACTCATTGTTAGGAATAATTATGGTCTAAATTGGATGTTAGGTACTATATAGGGTTAGACGATGTCAACCTTTGTCCTATCGTGATTATGTACAGTGAGGGAAAAAAGTATTTGATCCCTTGCTGATTTTGTTCGTTTGCCCACTGACAAAGACATGATCAGTCTATAATTTGAATGGTAGGTTTATTTGAACAGTGAGAGACAGAATAACAACAAAAAAATCCAGAAAAACGCATATCAAAAATGTTATAAATTGATTTGCATTTTAATGAGGGAAATAAGTATTTGACCCCTCTGCAAAACATGACTTAGTACTTGGTGGCAAAACCCTTGTTGGCAATCAGAGGTCAGACGTTTCTTGTAGTTGGCCACCAGGTTTGCACACATCTCAGGAGGGATTTTGTCCCACCCAAGTCATTAAGGTTTCGAGGCTGACGTTTGGCAACTCAAACTTTCAGCTCCCTCCACAGACTTTCTATGGGATTAAGGTCTGGAGACTGGCTAGGCCACTCCAGGACCTTATTGTGCTTCTTCTTGAGCCACTCCTTTGTTGCCTTGGCCGTGTGTTTTGGGTCATTGTCATGCTGGAATACCCATCCACGACCCATTTTCAATGCCCTGGCTGAGGGAAGGAGGTTCTCACCCAGTATTTGATGGTACATGGCCCCATCCATCGTCCCATTGATGCGGTGAAGTTGTCTTGTCCCCTTTGCAGAAAAACACCCCAAAGCATAATGTTTCCACCTCCATGTTTGACGGTGGGGATGGTGTTCTTGGGGTCATAGGCAGCATTCCTCCTCCTCCAAACACGGCGAGTTGAGTTGATGCCAAATAGCTCGATTTTGGTCTCATCTGACCACAACACTTTCACCCAGTTCTCCTCTGAATCATTCAGATGTTCATTGGCAAACTTCAGACGGGCCTGTATATGTGGTTTCTGGAGCAGGGGGACCTTGCGGGCACTGCAGGATTTCAGTCCTTCACGGCGTAGTGTGTTACCAATTGTTTTCTTGGTGACTATGGTCACAGCTGCCTTGAGATCATTGACAAGATCCTCCCGTGTAGTTCTGGGCAGATTCCTCACCGTTTTCATGATCATTGCAACTCCACAAGGTGAGATCTTGCATGGAGCCCCAGGCCGAGGGAGATTGACAGTTATTTTGTGTTTCTTCCATTTGCGAATAATCGCACCAACTGTTGTCACCTTCTCACCAAGCTGCTTGGCGATGGTCTTGTAGCCTATTCCAGCCTTGTGTAGGTCTACAATCTTGTCCCTGACATCCTAGGAGAACTCTTTGGTCTTGGCCATGGTGGAGTGTTTGGAATCTGATTGATTGCTTCTGTGGACAGGTGTCTTTAATACAAGCAACAAACTGAGATTAGGAGCACTCCCTTTAAGAGTGTGCTCCTAATCTCAGCTCGTTACCTGTATAAAAGACACCTGGGAGCAAGAAATCTTTCTGATTGAGAGGGGGTCAAATACTTATTTCCCTCATTAAAATGCAAATCAATTTATAACATTTTTGACATACGTTTTTCTGGATTTTGTTGTTGTTATTCTGTCTGTCACTGTTCAAATAAACCTACCATTAAAATTATAGACTGATCATTTCTTTGTCAGTGGGCAAACGTACAAAATCAGCAGGGGATCAAATACTTTTTTTCCCTCACTGTACCCATAAAATATTGTGATATACGATGCTATCACCCCAATTGGCCACTCCGCCAAAACATTTCTTTCTTAATAAGCTTAAACGTGATTAAACTTATCATTCAATTTTTCTATAGGATATTGATATTATTTGTTCTCTCTCATTATTAGTCCTCTGGCTACCTTACATTTTTAGGCTATTCAAATACGTTTTTGAGATGGCGAAAACATGTATAAAACGATGACGCGTAGCTTTCAGTCATATTCATAGTCTATCGAATGGAGCTAGAAGGGTATATAGGCAACTTTTTTTAAACAGCTAGACACAAGATAGTTCAGGAGTGTCTGTTTATAAAACATTTTTAGGCTATAGCCTAATGCCCATGCGTCCGACAGAGAGAGAGACTGGACATTTTGGACTGCTTTGGTGGAATTCTCCGCTTTGTCTGGCCTATATTCCTCTTGTTTTATGTAGGCTATATAACATATTTATTGAAATGGGCTATAGCAAATAGGAATAGGCTATTTACTCGGAATGCCACTTGTGTCACCTTGCTGCTGCTCTGCTGTTTTACTGTGTGGCGCCAGTCAAGTTCAAAGAGGCTAAACCATCATCTGTCACATCGTGATGTCGTCACCATCGACGATGGCTGTCAATCATTGTCGATAGACGATGTTATCGCAATATCGCCCACCCTAGTACTATATTTATTTAAAATTGGGCTATATGAATCCTATTAATGGAAGTGGCCAATGTGGGTGCAATCAATTCGCTTAAATTATCAGCGATGAAATTATATTTCAACAAAATAATGTTTCAGGAATGCTCATTTTATTTGTTTCTAATTACAGAAACAATTTCATGATTTTGTGTGGTAATCCTCGTTTTTTGGAGTGGGTGGAACAACACTACTGATGCCAAATGGCTTTGTTTTGACCGTATTAACAGACTACTACAGTAACTGAATTTATGCTTCCCCCACTGACTTCCACATGTACTCTACCTGATTTGATAAACATTACATAATACTTACAGTAAATACTGTATACTCCTCCCATGCCAGATAGCAGGCACACAATACAGACAAAGCAGATGTAGCCTAGCTACTAGGCTATCCCGCATGAGAAAAGCCACTAACATCCAGCATCTGTTTTCTTACAGCTGCTAAAAATGCTGGTTTGGTAGTCTTCATCTTTGGCAGACATTGTAGGCCTGTATTTATACTTTTGATCTGATACTGGCTCTAAAAGTCCACAACATCTATCAGTGTGACCGGGGAAAGAAAGGGAAAGTAAAAGAGGGTCAGTCAGTCTGGCTGTTCCTTTCAGCCACACACTGACTCCAATACAAGATGGTGGCTGGTTAGAGTCGGTTCAGGGCGGGATGGATGGAATTTCGTCCTTGTGTGAAGCCAAAACGTTTCTTCCCAGTACTGCAGATCGAGCAGAGAAACTATTCTCCAGGCGGTACCGGTGCATCAAGGCTCAGACAACAAACTCCTAAACAGCTTCAATTCCCTGGCCATAAGACTGTTAAATGACACTGCAGTTAATTGATTATTGATTCCCATTCGTATTTATCTATTTATCCAGCTACTGGTCACTATTACTGCTCTTTATACAGTTGAAGTCAGAAGTTTACATACACTTAGGTTGGAGTCATTAAAACTCGTTTTTCAACCACTCCACATATTTCTTGTTAACGAACTATAGATTTGGCAAGTCGGTTAGGACTTACTTTGTGCACGACACAAGTAATTTTTCCAAAAATTGTTTACAGACAGATTATTTCACTTATAATTCACTGCATCACAATTCAAGTGGGTCAGAAGTTTACATACACTAAGTTGACTGTGCCTTTAAACAGCTTGGAAAATTCCAGAACATGATGTCATGGCTTTAGAAGCTTCTGATAGGCTAATTGACATCATTTGAGTCAATTGGAGGTGTACCTGTGGATGTATTTCAAGGCCTACCTTCAAACTCAGTGCCTCTTTGCTTGACATCATGGGAAAATCAAAAGAAATCAGCCAAGACCTCAGAAAAAACACTGTAGACCTCCATAAGTCTGGTTCATCCTTGGGAGCAATTTCCAAACGCCTGAAGGTACCACGTTCATCTGTACAAACAATAGTATGCAAGTATAAACACCATGGGACCACGCAGCCGTCATACTGCTCAGGAAGGAGACGTGTTCTGTCTCCTAGAAATTAACGTACTTTGGTGCGAAAAGTGCAAATCAATCCCAGAACAACAGCAAAGGACATTGTAAAGATGCTGGAGGAAACAGGTACAAAATGATCTATTTCCACAGTAAAAGTCCTATATCGACATAACCTGAAAGGCCGCTCAGCAAGGAAGAAGCCACTGCTCCAAAACCACCATAAAAAAGCCAAACTACGGTTCGTAACTGCACATGGTGACAAAGATTGTACTTTTTGGAGAAATGTCCTCTGGTCTGATGAAACAAAAATAGAACTGTTTGGCGATAATGACCATTGTTATGTTTGGAGGAAAAAGGGGGTTGTTGCAAGCTGAAGAACACCATCCCAACCGTGAAGCACGGGGGTGGCAGCATCATGCTGTGGGGGAGGACTGCTTTGCTGCAGGAGGGACTGGTGCACTTCACAAAATAGATGGCATCATGAGGAAGGAAAATTATGTGGATATATTGAAGCAACATCTCAAGACATCAGTCAGGAAGTTAAAGCTTGGTCGCAAATGGGTATTCCAAATGGACAATGACCCCAAGCATACTTCCAAAGTTGTGAAAAGCGTGTGCGAGCAAGGAGGCCTACAAACCTGACTCAGTTACACCAGCTCTGTCAGGAGGAATGGGCCAAAATTCACCCAAGTTATTGTGGGAAGCTTGTGGAAGGCTACCTGAAACGTTTGACCCAAGTTAAACCATTTAAAGGCAATGCTACCAAATACTAATTGAGTGTATGTAAACTTCTGACCCACTGGGAATGTGATGAAAGAAATTAAAGCTGAAATAAATAATTATCTCTACTACTGTTCTGACGTTTCACTTTCTTAAAATAAAGTGGTGATCCTAACTGACCTAAGACAGGGAATCTTTACTAGGATTAAATGTCAGGAATTGTGAAACTGAGTTTAAATGTATTTGGCAAAGGTGTATGTACATTTCCGACTTCAACTGTATGTATACAGTACCAGTCAAACGTTTGAACACCTACTCATTCCAGGGTTTTTCTTTATTTTTGCTATTTTCTACATTGTAGAATAATAGTGAAGACATCAAAACTATGAACTAGCACATGTAGTATCCAAAAAAGTTCAACAAATCAAAATATATTTGAGATTCTTCAAAGTAGCCACCCTTTGCCTTGATGACAGCTATGCACACTCTGTTTGCAAATGTATTGGACATTTAAATACAGGAATATCTCAAGTATTCACACCCCTTTTCTATGACACTCCAAATTGAGCTCAGGTGCATCCAATTTCCTTTGAAATTTGATTGGAGTCCACCTGTGGCTAATTCAATTGTTTGGACATGATTTAGAAAGAAACACACCTGTCTAAATAAGGTCCTACAGTTGTCAGAGCAGAAACTATACCATGAAGTCCAAGGAACTGTCCGTAGGTTTCCAATATAGAATTGTGATGAGGCATATATCTGGGGAAGGGTATAAAAACATTTCTAGAGTGTTGAAAGTTTCCAAGAGCACAGTGCTCTCCATCATTGGGAAATTGAAAAAATATGGAACTACCCAGACTCTGCTTAGAGCTGGCCTTCCGACTAAACTGAGCAACCGTGCAAGAAGGACCTTGGTCAGAGAGGTGACCAAGAACCCAATGACCACTCTGACAGAACTACAGGGTTCCATGGCTGAGATGGGAGAACCCGCCAGAAGGACAACAGTCTCTATAGCTCTTCACCAATCTGGGTTTTTTGGGAGAGTGGCCCGACGGAAGCCACTCCTGACAAAAAGGCACATGACCGCACGCCTGGAGTTTGCAAAAAGGCACATGTAAGACTCTGAGAGCAATAGCCAAAAGATTTTGTGGTCTGATGAGAAAAACATTGAACTCTTTGGCCTGAATGCAAAGCGCTATGTCTGGAGAAAACCAGGCACAGCTCATCACCCGTCTAACACCATCCCTACCGTGAAGCATGGTGGAGGCAGCATCATGTATGGGGATGCTTTTCAGTGGCAGGGAGACTGGTAAGGATAGAAGGAACAATAAATGGAGCCAAATACAGGCAAATCTTTGACGAGAACCTGCAGAATGCAAATTACCTTAGACTGGGGCAAAGATTTTAAGTTCCAAAAGAATAATGACCCCAAGCATACAGCCAAAGCAATGCTGGAAGAACAAGAATGTGAAAATCCTTGAGAGGCCCAGCCAAAACCCAGACTTGAATCCCAATTAAAATCTGTGGAAAGACTTGAAGATTGCTGTTCACCGCCGCTCCCCATCTAACTTAACAGAGTTTGAGAAAATCTGCAAGGAGGAATGAGAGAGAATCCACAAATCCAGATGTGCAAAGCTGATATACCCAAGACGACTCAAAGCTATAATCGCCGCCAAAGGTGCTTCTACAAAGTATTGAGTCAGGGGTGTGAATACTTATGTGAATGAGAGATTTCTGTATTTCATCATCAATAAATTAGCAAACATTTCTAAAAACATGTTTTTGCTTTGTCATTATGGGATATTGTGTGGAGATGGGTGAGGGGAAAACAAATCTAATCCATTTTGAATTCATGTCTAACACAACAAAATGTATAGTAAGTTAAGAAGGCACTGTATATCCTACCAGTCACTTTTTATGTAGAAACCTACCTCAACCACTCCAGAACCCCTGCACATTGAATAAGGTACTGGCATTGACCTGTATATACTCGCATTGTCATGTTTCTTCAACCTATATCATACTTCTTGTGTGTATTGATTTGTGTATTTAATTTTTTTATTCCATTTTCTATTGTTGTTGTTATTGTTATTATTACTACTGTCACTGCAATGTTGGGATAGAGCTTTCAATGTAAGAATTTCACTGTACTGTTTTACACCTGTTGTATCCTGTGCACATGGCGAATAAACCTTGAAACGTGTACTCTGTACTTTCTGTTATACAATGTCACATGTATGAACTCTGCTACTGATCATTCAGTGTCTGTTATGCTTCCTGATTGTTCAAACCTTTACCTACATGTAAGTTGCTCTCTGGGTAAAAGTGAATGAATGGATGAATAATGTTGTAATTTAATATATCCCCCTTTCTTCCTTCCTCTCTCTCCCAGATATCTCCCCCCTGTGCCATAATCTGTTTGGTCTGTATGATGAGAGCAGGACTCTGTGGTACGCTCCCAACCACATCTTCAAGATCACGGACGAGACCTGCATCAAGCTGCATTACCGCATGAGGTACATAGACAGGCCTACTGCTGTGTGTGTGTGAGTTTGAGAGTGTGTGTGTGTGTACGTTTGCTTGCGTCCGTGTGTGTAACTGTGAGTGTGTGTGTGTTATCAGATTATCATAATCATTTTAATAGATCAGGAATATCTCATTGACGTCATTCATTAGATTCTCAGTACACCTCCCATTTGCGTGTTAGTAACTCATTTACTCCACCACTCTGTTACCAACCTGCTGTTGTTGCCACTCTGCACTCTCAGCATCACCTGTGACAGCAGTATAAACTGTTCAACAGTACTGTTATTCAACCATCATTCACTAACCATGATTCAGTGTAACAAGAAGGTTGTCATGAAGCTAGGTTGTATGGCACATTGAAACCATGCTGTGCAGTTTAGTACAGAGTAGAATGGCACTTGCTGAGCTGGTAAAGTAGTCCACATCAGATAAAATTAGAATACAGTAGTATGTAATTAAGTAGGATTTACTTGTGAACTTCTTTTACAATTCACATGAAACATTGATTCAAGGCAGGACCAAATCCAATACTTCAAGTATCAAGTAAATGTGTTTGTTTACTGCACTTGAGCATAATGTAATGGGAGATATTCAGTTGCCATGGCAGTTCATTTGGATATGATCCAAGGTAAACGTTTAACTCCGAGAGGAAGGAGAGCAAACGTGGTGTCACGCACACTTCCTCTTTCTGCTCTCTCTTTCACTAGATAACAGAGCAGGGGTGTCAAACTCATTTTGCCCCGGGGGCCGCATTGTCTTCAACGAGGTCCAGGGGCCGCACTGAAAATGTGTCAAAATTGGTCAGAATTTGCTAAAAGTAGTGCTCCATCCATCGTTTTTGAAATGTTCGATGCTCCCTGTCTGTCTAGTGATTATTAGGGAGCTGGACTGTCAAGACCCCCGGGGCGTATGTTTGACACCCCTGCAATAGAGCGAGAGGAGGAGGGTGAATGTGGTGAGAGCCTAATAGAGTTGGCCCAGTGTTGAGTTGAATTTGCATCATACAGCCAGGGTACACATTGTCGACGAACAGATAACCAAACGCACGTCAGCCCATTTTAAATGAAAAAGGGAGAATCAGGTGCTCGACTGAGGGACTGGAAAATAGCAAAAACATTCCTTACCCCAGGATACTTCAACTGGTGACTATCCGGGAGAATAAAGAAAAAGGAGCATTCTGTTTCTGCATAAATCTGAGAGATTTATTGACGGGACAAACAAACAATAGTCTTACGTTTCGGCACGAATCGCCTTCATCAGAGCCTTGAGTAGGAAAAATGTGTGAGGCACCTATATACCCTCGAAGGGGAGTGTCCCGCTCATCATGTTAATCAAACATGTCAATAATGTAAACTAGACAGGTTATTCAAAGAGTATGATCATCATTCAAGATTCCTACACATACATTGCATTTGAATAACAAAAGATAGAGAAATAAACAAAGAAAAACATATTTTCAAAAAAGATGAGAAAAAGAGCTGTTCATTCAGACCCTTTGGCTCGACACGATCTAAGCAGTCGATCCGAAGTGCCTTTCTCTAACAATTTCCTCGTAATATTGCCCCCTCTGGAGGAAAGAGAAACGTTCTCAATTCCGCAGGATTTCTAGGTTGAGGCTGAGCCATGATTGGCATTCATGTAGTGCTGCGCGATTGCATATTCCATATTTTTGGTGAGGATAGCTGTTTTGTGTTCCGCTATTCTTAATTTGAGCGCCTGTTTCGTCTGACTGACGTCAACAAGCCCACATGGGCATTTGAGCATTATACAACATTTGTTGTACTACAATTTATGAAGTATTTGATCCTGTATTCTTTACCAGAGCGTGGGTGCTAGAGTACTTTTGTGTCACTTGAATTGGAATAATGAGTACAATGACTGCAGCGGTAGAAACCATTGGGGGGACCTGGGAGCCAGGTAGAGGGTGCAGGATTCGGGAGCACACTGTGCACGACGGTTGGAAATCCCGTTCATCATGCGCACCATGTCCTTTCCTACCGCTCCGCTAAAAACCGCTCCATGCTTACAGGGGGGAAAAAAAACTCCCGCTCCAAATTCGCTCCGTTCATTAGAAGCACAATTGAACCAACACCCATCTATTTCTGTGACTACCTGGACCTACCAATTTGGTTTTTAATTATTGAAACCGAACCATATGGATTTTAATGAAAATTATTTGAATAAACATGAACAGGCGAATGTCAGAAGCGAACATCAATTCAAATAGGCTACATGTCATATTAAACAGTATATAAACATTCTAAATAGGTCAGGAGCCAGACAGGGAGCCTAAGAAGGAACGAAAATGAATGATTTAGGCTATATTATTTCAACTATTTCAAGGCTATAGCCTACAAAGAAATACATTGTGAAGCATTTGCGAGTGCGACACAATAGTCTGGTAGGGACATAAAGAGTTCAGTATTTTAAACAACATTAAATAGTTATAGTCTATAAATTGCGCATACAGGCTATGACTGACTTAGAATTAAATACATGGTATATATAACTTAAAAACAACAACTTCAGATTGTTTTCTTTGTTTTAATACGATCAACATACAACATAAAGCTAGAGCCTGAGGACAGTGTGTCCAAAATAGTACAAGCACAACATCCCTATTAATCATAAAACATGTCAAGTTTATTTGAAAATTCTAAAGAAAAAGAACACACAAACACACAATGCCTCAGTGATTAACATAACTGTTTCACAGATCACAGAACTATATCAGGGTGTCATTTCTCAGGCAGAAATGTAGATAAAAATAATGAAATCCTGTTCCCCAAACACGTGCAAGAACCACAGAGTCAAGAATAGGTTAAATATACAAATAAAATAAAATCAATTAAAAACAATAGCACATCAACATAAAAACATATAAACATAAAGCTGGAGCCTGAGGACAGTGTCCAAAAGCACAACATCACTATTAATCATAAAACACCTCAAGTTATTTGAAAGTTCTGAGGACAAAGAACACACAAACACACAATGCCTCAGTGATTCACAGAAGTATATCACATATCACAGAACTATATCAGGGTGTCATTTCTCAGGCAGAAATGTAGATAAAAATAATGAAATCCTGTTCCCCAAACAAGTGCAAGAACCACAGAGTCAAGAATAGGTTAAATATACAAATAAAATAAAATCAATTAAAAACAATAGCACATCAACATAAAAACATATAAACATAAATCTGAAAGCGTTGCTCAAACTCCCGTAACAGTCCCGTTATTTTATCTTTGAACCGCTTCATGTCTGCCACATGTTGGGTCGCGCACACATTTTTCAGACAGGGGAAGTGAGCTGCATCACCACCGGCAAGTTGCGTCTCCCACAATGACAGCTTCAACTTGAAAGAACGTATGCTGTCATAATACTGCGTGACAACTTTGTTGCGCCCTTGCAGCTGTTTGTTCAAGTTATTCAGGTGCTCTGTAACATCCACCATAAATGCAAGGTCCTGCATCCATTCTGCGGAATGAAATTCTAACACTGGTTTGCCCTTTTCTTCCATGAACTGTTCAATTTCTTCTCGTAAATCAAAGAAACGCCTCAGCACAGCACCTCGGCTTAACCATCTTACCTCAGTGTGGTATGGCAGGCCATAGATGTGGTCTTTCTCTCTGAGAAGGCTGTCAAACTGACGGTGATTCAGGCTTCTGGATCGGATGAAATTAACAGTTTGGATGACCACCTTCATGACGTTATCCATCTTTAATGACTTGCAACACAAAGCCTCCTGGTGCAAAATACAGTGAAAAGTCAAAAAATCACGTCCTCCATTTGCAGATTGCACTTTCTCTCTGAACTTTGTCACAACGCCTGCTTTTTTCCCGATCATTGAGGGCGCACCATCTGTAGCCAGGCTGACAGCGCGGGACCAGTCCACTCCGACCCTGTCCAGCGCGCCGACGAGTGCGGTAAAAATATCAGCTGCTGTCGTTGTATCTGTCATCGGCACCAACTCCACGAACTCCTCGGTGACGGTCAATGTGTCATCAACTCCGCGGATGAAAATGGCCAGTTGTGCAACATCTGTAATGTCCGTGCTTTCATCAGTTGCAACCGAAAACGCAATAAATGACTTTACTTTTTGCTTCAACTGGCTGTCCAAATCCACTGAAAGATCGGAAATCCTGTCTGCAACTGTGTTTCTTGTCAGGCTGATATTTGCAAAAGCATGCCGCTTTTCAGGGCACACAATCTCCGCTGCCTTCATCATGCATGTTTTTACAAATTCACCCTCACTAAATGGTTTTGAAGCCACTGCGATTTCATTAGCAATGAGGTAGCTAGCTTTCACTGCAGCGTCACTGATGTCTCTGCTGTGAGTAAACACAGACTGCTGTTTCTTCAGACCCGCCAACAGTTCATTCACCTTCTCTCATCTCCGCTGTCCTTAGCAGCACACAAGTTGACTACAAATGCATGCTGGGGCGGGCATGCCCTGAGCTCGTGAAGTGAGCGCTACTTGGAGCAGTACTGGAGAGAAATTGGAGCGAGCGAGAAGGCCGACGCTCCAGCCTTTGGAAATCACGCTCCAGTCAAATTGATCACGCTCAGCTCCTTGCTCCGCTCCAGGTCCGCACCGCTCACATACTCTGCTCCTAAAGCATATCAGGGGAGGCTTTAGACGCCAAGTCTTTGAGCGAGGGGTCACTCTGGAGAATGTTTGCTTTTTATCTGCCCTGCAGACAGGTTGTATTCAGTGAAAAAACAAAGGGGGGCTCTATCAGTCTGTTGCACTCGCTTATGAGACCTGTTGAGGAGACTGTAGCTGTGTTCGAGGAACCACCTTTTCATTATTTTAGCTTTAGTCTCAATCTTTTGATTTGCTGCAGTTTCGCCTTAGTTAGTAATATTGCATTTTAGAGGGTTAAGATTACCATCGCACCTTAGGGCCGTGTTCCTAGATTATGGCCAACCTTTGTACACAAATACAAACAATCCGCACACTTACGGTAAATGCGTGAATGCACGCACTCAGACACACACATGCACCTCACCAACCTACCGACCATGTGTTGGTATTAACAGTCTCCTGGCTCTCCTCTCTCATCCACCAGGTTTTACTTCACTAACTGGCATGGGACCAGTGAGAGTGAGTCTCCAGTGTGGAGACATTGTATCAGTAAACTTAGGGGAGGACTCAGCCCACAGAAGGTCCCAGAGGGTACACCCCTGCTGGACTCTGCCTCCCTTGACTACCTGTTCTCCCAGGTATGTACCTGTGTGTGTGTGTGTGTGTGTGTGTGTGTGTGTGTGCACTACATGTATGATTCACTACTCTTCCTAATTTCGTTGGAACATTAGTCACAACATCAGGAATGTGACTATTTGTGTACACATGTCCCTTCCTGTATGGTTCTTTATGTGTATATTGTGTGTGTGTGTTTCCAGGGCCAGAATGATTTCCAGAAGGGTCTGGCTGTGGTGCGTAGCCCCCAGAGTGAGGAGGAGCAACATGAGATAGAGAATGAGTGTCTGGGAATGGCTGTACTGGCCATCACTCACTACGCTATGACCAGAGAAATACCCCTCTCTACTGCTTCCAATGAGATCAGGTATAGATGACACACACACACACACACAGACACACAGACACACAGACACACACACACACAGAGACCATGTTCCCTCAAAAAAATGTAGGCAGTGAGCAAATCTGAGGTCTGCCGAGTGCAAAACGGAACATTGTGTAAATTCTGTACTTCCAGGGTGTGGTTATTGTGAAGACTGAGGCCGTACCCGCTTTAAGTTGCGGTTTCAGACAGTGGTCAAGTAGGCTGCTGTGGCTATTTGGCCTACCATCAAAAACAATGGAGAAAATGCATCCCATAACATTTTAACATGGAAATAGCTGTTCTATCATTCAGCCTACAGTATCAGCCAATGTGTGGTGTTCAATGTAGGCCTACATTCCATGAGACTTTTGAAAAAAACATGCAGGACTTGACATTAACCTGTTTATCAACTTGTCCTTCAGACAAGGAGGTATCAATTCAATAGATGCGTTCTGCCTGCTCCAATGCGTTCTGCCTACAACAAAATCTCTCGCATAGTTAGTTTTGCATACTAATTCTTGCATAGTTCGTTTTGTTTCGGTGTGTTGCATTGAAAGTAGTTAATATTGCGTTGATTCGATCACAATTCCCACAGTAAAGGGAAATGTTGATAGTGTTAATTAACGAAGGGGGAAAACTCTAGAAAGTTGAAATCAATCTCGTGCTTCTCTGCGCGGGCTGATATTTATTCTGCGTGGCAGTCCCAGGGGGACCTGCGTAGCTTAGAGGGAACATTGCACGCAGATATACTGTATAATCAGTCCACACATACCCGTTCACAAATGGAAAGGAAGGACGATGTCTCTAATTCCTCCACTGACTCATCTATCCTCCTCCATTTACCAATCCCTTTCTCCTCCATCTCTCCTCCCTCTCTCTCCAGCTACAAGCGTTTTATCCCAGAGACCCTGAACAGGAGCATTAAACAGCGCAACATCCTCACCCGGCTCCGCATCAACAACGTCTTCAGGAACTTCCTGAATGAGTTCAACAGTCGCACGATGCAGGACAGCAACATCACGCTGTACGACCTGAAGATCAAGTACCTGTCCACCCTGGAAGGCCTCACCCGGGGCCTGGGGAGGGAGGTGTTGGAGCCCAGGTCCCTGCTACTTACCCAGGAGGGAGAGACAAACGGGGGGCTGAGCAATGGACCTGAGCCCTCCCTTGCCATAGAGGTCCAGGTTACGGGGACCACAGGGATCTCCTACAGGAGGAAGCCCCTTAATGTGAGTGGGGAGGTGGGGAGGTTGAAGGAGTTGGTGTGAGATTTCTGGGTGAGATATATCTGGATAGGGAGTGATTTTGGAAGGTATTGATTGAAGTATCTGAATGTATTTTGAAACGAATCTATGAGAAATCTTATGACAATGTATTTTTGCTTTCATTGGCAATAGAATACCCTGATCCTGAAAGAGAAGACACCGTCCAAGAAGAACAAGCTTGAGGGCAAACAGAAGAAGAACAAGAAGAAAGACGCCAGCGACGGCTGGGTGACCTTCTGTGACTTTCACGAGATCACACACATCGTTATCAAAGAGTCCTTTGTCACCATCTTCAGACAGGATAACAAGAAGATGGTAAGATAAGCGCATTTACGCACACACGAACACACACACACTCCCAATACTGCTTGAGCTGAAATTATGCCGATTTAAGCAGTGACAGTAGCATATGTAGTGTTTTAATTCATTAATTGGTCTCAGGTTGTCTCTTCTGTAGTGTCTCCGCTCCAGCCAGCTAGTTCAGATGTCACCGGGCCTAACAGCCAGCTAACCTAGCCCAGGAACAAATAATCTGAGTAGTAGTCTGTGTTAACCATTAGACAGTCCTCTGTCCAGAATGGAGCTATGTACAGGAAGAGACTTGTACAGTACCTGAGTGGGTACAGTACTTACAGTGTGTTGCCCTAATTCTGTGGGACTGAAATGATCACTGTGACTGCATGCCACGGTTTGTAAGTGTGCCACTGGGTGCATCAAACCAAGCTACCTGAACCTCTAAGAACAAGAACCTTGAAGATGTGCAGACTATAACACTAAGGAAAGGAGATGAGGAAAGGAATCTACAAGAAAGGAAAGGAAGCTAGTGGAGTGTTTTGGAACACAGACTAAGGCGCCAGCTAATTGGGAGCAGGTTGGCAATTATTGGGATGAATCAGCTCTGCAGGGTGGTCACTAGCTGGCCTAGCCACAAAGTCATAGAAATCTGATTTTAAAGCTAACCTGAACACTAACCGTAACTACACTGCTAACCTTATGCCTAACACTAACCTTAAATGAAGACAAAAAAGCTCTTTTTTATTAGCATTCATTTTTTTTACGATATAGCCAATTCTGACTTTGCTGCTGGCCCATCTAGCGAAAACCGCTGAGCTCTGCCTCCAGGACAAGATTCATCCCAATAAATGTCAACCTGCTAATGGGGATCCAAATAAAGAATAATGAATGAAGTATTGATTTATAAAGTATTTATTACTATTGTTTAACTCTCCTATTGTCCTCCAGGAGGTGCAGCTGGAGTTTAGAGGCGAGGCGTTGGCGTTCGCTGCCCTGGTGGACGGGTACTTCCGTCTGACGGTCGACGCCCACCACTACCTGTGTACAGAGGTGGCCCCTTCCTCTGTGGTGCAGAACCTACAGAACTGCTGCCATGGACCTATCAGGTCAGTACTCAGACACACACACACTCTTGTCTCTCTCTCTGTCCATCTGTCTGGCTTTTGTTCTCTTTCCCTCCTTCCATCTTTATCTCCCCCCCCCCCAATCTCTCTAGTCTCCTAACCTCTCTTCTCATCCTTCTACCTTTCCCTATCGGTTTCATTTGTCTAAATCTACCATTTGAGTGTTGGTGTTTTTGACTGTTGGCGCCTACAGTACTGAGTATGCCATCCAGAAGCTTCGTCAAGAGGGCAACGAGGAGGGAACCTACGTCCTGCGCTGGTCCTGTACTGACTACGATAACATCATCATGACCGTGGTCTGCAGCGAGGTAACACACACATACTTACCTGGCATGGGAGACACCTTGATTACGAAAGAGGTTCACCCATTGCATGGCACACAGGCCATGCTGACCCCGGTGAATTCCCCAAATGTGGGAATCTCTACTTCATAATTTGCGGTAGTTGGGAAACTGCGTCCAACCTCTACCCTGAAATTAGCGTTGGGCCAGTAACCAAAAGGTTGCTAGTTCGAATCCCTGAGCTGACATGGTGACAAATCTGTCAATGTGCCCTTGCGCAAGGTACTTAACTCTAATTGCTCCAAGGTCGCATTGGCACGGCCAGGGTCAAAATGGCAGACCCTGGCCGTGACCCCACTCTCCGAGGGTGTCTCAGGGAGAGTTGAGATATGCAAAAAAAAATTAACATTTCCAATTCACACATGCGTATTAATACACACTTGTACAATAGGACAAATATAAGCACCCACCAAATTATTATAATTTATCACACACACACACCCTCTTGAGAACAAAGTATTTTTGCAGGCAGACAGAAATAACTGAGGGGGAACCAATAGAGAAGTCTGACAAAAGGCCAAAACAACAAAGTTAAGAGATAATCACACAAGTGACTAGGAGCTGTCTGATAAACCGTTACAACACAGATGATACCAAAACATGATACACAGGAAGTCCTTTTCAAACGATGTGTGGTTACTGTCATAACAACAGCCTGGTCTGGTGTGTATATCACATTACCATGGTTAGGTAAGCTGAACTCCCATCAGTAAACACTGTGTGTGTGTGTGGGTGGTTTGGTTTTACTATCCTTGTGGGGACCAGAAGTCCTCACAAGGATAGTAAAACAAAGAAAAGTATGACAAGTGGGCACCAGCTAAATGTCCCCACAAGGAAAAAAGCATTTTGAATGGGAATAAATGTTTTGGTCCCCACAAGGTAAGTAAAACAAATGTGTGCGGGGGGGGGGGGGAGTTTGAGTGTGTTCTTGTTTGGTGCATCCATATGCAATTAAATAAAGTTACAGTCAATAGCATGTGACTTACTGTACAGGCTGACTGGGATGTGTTCTAGATAGTGTAGTTTGTTTTATCCTGCCTAACTCTCTCCCCCATTCCCTCGCTGATTTCCTCTTTCCTTCTCTCCTTCCCTTCATCTACCCTTTCCTCCCCCCTCTCTCCCCTCTCCAGTTGGATCTGTGTGAGACGAGGCAGGTGCATCTGCATAAGAACTTCCAGATCGAGGTGGGTTCGGAGGGATTCCGTCTGTATGGGACAGAGACCTACAGATCTTCTCTCAGAGAGCTTCTAGACCACCTGGCTAGACAGAACCTCCGTACGGACAACCTCCACTTCCAGCTCAGACGCTGCTGCCCCCCACAGCCCAGAGGTATGGGGAGAGACACAAATATACAGTACATACAGACCCACACACTCACTTCAACTTTTAGTACTTTTATTTCAGCCCCTCAGAATGTCATGTTGCCCTTGGTATACATGTCCTGCACACACATATTGAACTGAGCCCTCAGCGTGACTTGGTTCTGGTCAGCTGAAAGGATGTCCCTTTTTTAGTACCTGTTTACACCAGGAGCTCTAGTTTCCCTTTGCGACACTGCCTCACCATGATTACCACTCGCTTAACCCTCTCAGTACCTCAGCTCTGGGGGTAACTGGGTGCATCCGTGTGTGAGTGTGGCAATGTGTTTTTGCAAGCATAGGGTGTGTGAGCACCCTTTCTTGTTTACATCCTCTGTGTTTGTGTGCGTGTGTGTGCCTGTACTGTGTGTGTGAGCACTCTTGTGTTTTTGACATACTGTGTGTGTGTGGGGTGTGCGCGTGCATGTGTGTCAGTGAGCGGCAGGGACAGGAACACGAAGTAGTATTGTGGTTTCCGGAACACATCTCTCCTCCTCTGTTTACTGCAGGCAGGCGGAGGCGTGTGTGGGTTGTTGTGATAAAATATTTTGCCTGCTGTGAGGAGCCTGTCAGAAGGGTGGAGTGTTTTGATTTTGTTGTGCGCACATGCATGCGTGTGTGTGCTGAAAACCAGAGTTATCTTTGTCACAACATCACTTCCTCCTCTCCACCCAGCCACACACTGATAATTATTCTAATATACAGTACCAGTCAAAAGTTTGGACACACCTACTCATTCTACTAGAGGAATCGCTATCTATCGAAGATATTTGCTCAGCAGTGAGTTGGGCCTCGCCTTATACATTTGCAAAGCTCGATATCACTGGCGCATACTGTTTTAGGTGTAGGATCTTCCCATTTGTGTGGTGAGTCGCACAGGGCAGTCGGTCGTCAGGATAAGCTTGTCTGCAGTACGGGAGAGTATATACCATAAGTGAAATACCAAAACGAATACTTGAAAGAGAACTTTAGGTTTCCGACCGTAACCCCTGTTTTCTGAGAGTATGAGTGAGGTATTTCACCAGACCACCCTCCTTGCATAAGCGAGGAAGAGGTGTTGCTGATTTTGAATGACTCAGCGATGCTGCGTTGGACCTTTTTATAAGGTAGGAGGGACGCCCCTCCCCGACGCAAATGTCTAGACATCGAGCCAATCATGGCTGGTGTAGTGTAATAAAGGCTTCTGACGAAAACGCTGAAGGCGTATCCCATTAGGATACTATCATACTACACTATACAGTGGGGGAAAAAATGTATTTAGTCAGCCACCAATTGTGCAAGTTCTCCCACTTAAAAAGATGAGAGAGGCCTGTAATTTTCATCATAGGTACACGTCAACTATGACAGACAAAATGAGGAAAAACAAATCCAGAAAATCACATTGTAAGATTTTTTATGAATTTATTTGCAAATTATGGTGGAAAATAAGTATTTGGTCAATAACAAAAGTTTCTCAATACTTTGTTATATACCCTTTGTTGGCAATGACACAGGTCAAACGTTTTCTGTAAGTCTTCACAAGGTTTTCACACACTGTTGCTGGTATTTTGGCCCATTCCTCCATGCAGATCTCCTCTAGAGCAGTAATGTTTTGGGGCTGTCGCTGGGCAACACGGACTTTCAACTCCCTCCAAAGATTTTCTATGGGATTGAGATCTGGAGACTGGTTAGGCCACTCCAGGACCTTGAAATGCTTCTTACGAAGCCACTCCTTCGTTGCCCGGGCGGTGTGTTTGGGATCATTGTCATGCTGAAAGACCCAGCCATGTTTCATCTTCAATGCCCTTGCTGATGGAAGGAGGTTTTCACTCAAAATCTCACGATACATGGCCCCATTCATTCTTTCCTTTACACGGATCAGTCGTCCTGGTCCCTTTGCAGAAAAACAGCCCCAAAGCATGATGTTTCCACCCCCATGCTTCACAGTAGGTATGGTGTTCTTTGGATGCAACTCAACATTCTTTGTCCTCCAAACACGACAAGTTGAGTTTTTACCAAAAAGTTATACTGTAAGTGCTGTTATTGTGAAGGGGAAACGTCTAGGAGCAACCACACACTAGCCTAAGATCACCATGTGCAATGCCAAGCGTCGGTTGGAGTGGTGTAAAACTCGCCGCCATTGGACTCTGGAGCAGTGGAAACGTGTTCTCTGGAGTTATTTAATCATGCTTCACCATCTGGCAGTCTGTTTCAGCATGACAAAGCCCCCGTGCACAAAGCGAGGTCCATACAGAAATGGTTTGTCGAGATCGGTGTGGAAGAAGTTGACTGGCCTGCACAGAGCACTGAACTCAACCCCATCGAACACCTTTGGGATGAATTGGAATGCCGACTGCAGGCCTAATCGCCCAACATCAGTGCCCGAACTCACTAATGCTCTTGTGGCTGAATGGAAGCAAGTCCCCGCAGCAATGTTCCAACATCTAGTGGAAAGCCTTCCCAGAACAGTAGAGGCTGTTATAGCAGCAAAGGGGGGATCAACTCTATATTAATGCCATGATTTTGGAATGAGATGTTCGACGAGCAGGTGATCACATACTTTTAGTCATGCAGTGCATCAGAGAACCGGGTTTACGGTCGTAAAATAAAGATTCTTATTCATATACTGGATTCTTCACATAGCTCATTCTAATACAGCGGTCTCCAACAGGGACATCTACCAGTAAGTTAGGTCACAGCCCACCTATGAGTAGCTCGCCAAACAATTCTGAAAATGCTTGTATTTTTTACGTGTTTCATCGCAAACTGTCATAAACAAATCTCACAAGTATCATACACATCAAGCTCCCGGCTACTGTTCAGTCCACAATGACTTTTTCCCACCCCTAGTTAGCCACAATTGGCTTAAAAAGCCAAACTTAACTCAATATCTGCCAATTAATTTCCAGAAATATTGTCGGTGTGGTGTGTGTGTGTGTGTGTGTGTGTGTGTGTGTGTGTGTGTGTGTTTGTGTCTATCAATCACTTTGTGTAGCCAGTTAGCGATAATGATAACTGTCTTCTGGTTAGACAGACAGAAATTCTTTCCCCAAAACCTTCTCAATTAAATGTTAAGTGCAAAGTAGGCTTACCTGGCAGAATTATATCATGATTATCAGTCGGGTGTGCTTTTGTTTTGCAAACTCTGTCATGACATATGCAGCAGCAAAAACATCGCTAGACCAGCATATTCCTCTCTCGCAAAATGCGCAATTAAAGAGGTATTACACAAAAATATCTAAATGTTGCCCTCAAAAATGATCTTATAATGTGATTGAAGCATTGACATGGACTCAGAACATCCAATTGTATTGTTTCTCTATGAATAATTGTAATTTTGTGAGTGAAAAACTGAAAAAAATCTCAAACCAGGACAAATAAAATGGAGAATATGGAATTCAGGAAAATACAAAGAGTGCCTATTTTGAAAGCTAGGAAAAAATGTATGAGTAGCTCGCAACATGTTTCATCATTTAAAAGTAGCTCTCATGCTAGAAAAGGTTAGAGATCACTGTTCTAATACAGCTACTGTATTATTATTATTATTATACTGTACATTGCATTTTTGCTACACTGTTTATACACAGCGTGTATTTATATTCTGGATTCTCGACATAGCTCACTGTAATATATCTACAGCTGTACATATCATTCTTAGTATATCTTTTTGGTGTGTATATACACTACCGGTCAAAAGTTTTAGAACACATACTCATTCAAGGATTTTTCTTTATTTTTACTATTTTCTACATTGTAGAATAATAGTGAAAACATCAAAACTATGAAATAACACATATGGAATCATGTAGTAACCAAAAAAGTGTTAAACAAATCAAAATATATTTTCTTTGAGATTCTTAGCCACCCATTTGCCTTGATGACCGCTTTCTACCGGTCTAATGTCCATTGCTCGTGTTTCTTCGCCCAAGCAGGTCTCTTCTTCTTATTGGTGTCCTTTAGTAGTGGTTTCTTTGTAGCAATTCAACCGTGAAGGCCTGATTCACGCAGTCTACTCTAAACAGTTGATGTGTCTGAACTCTGTGAAGCATTTATTTGGGCTGCAGGCTGGTAACTCTAATGAACTTATCCTCTGCAGCAGAGGTAACTCTGGGTCTTCCATTCCTGTGGCGGTCCTCATGAGAGCCAGTTTCATCATAGCGCTTGATGGTTTTTGCGACTGCACTTGAAGAAACGTTCAAAGTTCTTGACATTTTCCGTATTGACTGACCTGCATGTCTTAAAGTAATGATGGACTGTCGTTTCTCTTTGCTTATTTGAGCTGTTCTTTCCATAATATGGACTTGGTCTTTTACCAAATAGGGCTATCTTCTGTATACCCCCCTACCTTGTCACAACACAATTGATTGGCTCAAACGCATTAAGAAGGAAAAAAAATCCTCAAATTGAAATGCATTCCAGGTGAAGCTGGTTGAGATTGTGCAAAGCTGTCATCAAGGCAAAGGGTGGCTATTTGAAGAATCTCAAGTCTAAAATATATTTTGATTTGTTTAACACTTTTTTTTTTGTTTACTACATGGTTATTTGGTTATTTCATGTCTTCACTATTATTCTACAATGTAAAAATAAAGCATACTCTTGAATGAGTAGGTGTGTCAACTTTTGACTGGTAGTATACATGCATAGGTTGCATTTGGTTTACTGATAACTTATTTATTTTTTTAACTGAATTTGTCCTTCCATCCGGGATTTATTCTTTTTTTGTCATTATTTGTGTTCTTGTTTGACATTTTTAATGCACTGTTAGGAGCTGGTAACACAAGCATTTCAATGCACCAGCTATAACATCTGCTAAACTGTGTACTTGACCAATACACTTTGAAAGCCCCCGCAGTCAAATCAAATAAAACTACACACACACATTTTACATTTTAGTCATTTAGCAGACGCTCTTATCCAGAGCGACTTACATACACATTTATGATTGCGCAAGCAGTTGTTTTCAAACACGTTAATATCCCCACACGCAGCCAACACACCCACCAATTAACAAAGATGTCAGACTAAACTGCATGTCACAATCAACAGCCTGAGTAACTTGACCTACATTTAGCTTGTTTACATGCATAGTGACTGAGGCTGCGTTTACACAGGCAGCCCAATTCTGATATTTTTCCCAATTATTGGTCTTTTGACCAATCAGATCAGATATGTTGCCAATAATTGGGCTAAATATCAGAATTGGGTTGCCTGTGCAAACGCAGCCTGATTGATGTGTAAACAATGCTGCTCCAACTCCTACATGGTATAAGCCATTCATAAACTTTGTTCGTTCTTTACTAACTGATAAGGAGACTGGTGTCAGTTTTGCAGAAGCCATTTTATAACTTTTTTTAAATTATTTAATTTATACTTTTTTTAAACTCACAAAAAAAGACAGATACAGACATTGACATTCATTGTACTGTTCAATGGGATGGCAGATTTAGAGGACAAAACTTAACTCACACATACAAATATAAACAAAAAAATCCTATTAGGCGGTACATATTATAAGAAGACAGCATATTACAAGCAGTGTCGTTAAACCAGTTATCCAGTATCGGCTGCCATATTTTGTAAAACATTGGACTTCTATTGGAGGTATCGAATATTTTCCATATGCATTACATTCCCTAAATCCCTTAACTACATTTCAAAGGTAAGAACAGTCTCCAATTTCCAAAATTGCAATATGAGCCTTTTGACTAAGAGTACAAAGAGAGACAGCCTTCCCTTCCTGGTTATTCCCATCAACTGTACCAAACAGAGCGATCAATGGGTCTGGGGCTATAGCTCTATCAAAGGCTTTAGATAAGTCATCAAAAATGAGAGCCCAGTAAACATGTAATTTAGGACAAATAAGTGGGTCAAAGTCTCCTCATCCTGCTTGCGCCTCTCACACAGTGGTGAGGTGTCTGGGAATATTTTATGCAGTTTCACTTTTGAGTAATGTAACCTGTGTATCACCTTAAACTGAACAAGGTTGTGTCTGGCATTCAGTGAACTGTGGTTTATATTCCTGAGAGCTTCTACCCAGTCCTCATCTGAGATTTCTGAACCAAGTTCCTTCTCCCAAGCCCTTTTAATAGTGTCTGTGGATACCTCTATGTGGGCCCGTAGCACATCCTAAAGTCTAGAGACCGACCCTTTTGAATGGACTTTGACAAGGTTAAGGCTATCTAATGTAGGATTCTTTGGCTTAATGCCATACTGTGGGATATGTGTCCTTAAGAAATTCCTGATTTGGAGGTATCTGGAAATCAATGTGTTGCTGGCATGTTAATCTTACCCTGTAATTGTTGAAATGAAGCTAAATGACCATCAATGTATACGTTACCGATTGTTGTGAGCCCCTTCTCCCTTCACCAGATCTAATGTGTTACAGTTGAAGTCGGAAGTTTACATACACTTAGGTTGGAGTCATTAAAACTCGTTTTTCAACCACTACACACATTTCTTGTTAACAAACTATCGTTTTGGCAAATCGGTAAGGACATCTACTTTGTGCATGACACAAGTAATTTTTCCAACAATTCTTTACAGACAGATTATTTCACTTATAATTCACTATCACAATTCCAGTGGGTCAGAAGTTTACATACACTAAGTTGACTGTGCCCTTAAACAGCTTGGAAAATTACAGAAAATGATGTCATGGCTTTAGAAGCTTCTGATAGGCTAATTGACATCATTTGAGTCATTTGAGTTCATCTGTACAAACAATAGTACGCAAGTATAAACACCATGGGATCACGCAGCCGTCATACCGCTAAGGAAGGAGACGCGATCTGTCTCCAAGAGATGAACGTACTTTGGTGCGAAAAGTGCAAATCAATCCCAGAACAACAGCAAAGGACCTTGTGAAGATGCTGGAGGAAACAGGTACAAACATATCTATATCCACAGTAAAACAAGTCCTATGTCGCTCAGCAAGGAAGAAGCCACTGCACCAAAACTGCCATAAAAAAGCCAGACTACAGTTTGCAACTGCACATGAGGACAAAGATCGAACTTGAGAGATTCCCAAAGGGTAGTCGTCGTCAACATCCCCCTGTTGTTAGCTCAGAGGAAAAAAGCAATCTGCTCCTTCAAATACTGACAAAAAGTCTAATCTTTCAACAAGTATGCGTCTTAAGTGCCACAGTCGCTGACCTGCAGACATGTCGATTTTCAACACCATGGACAGCGGAGAGTGGTCTCTAATTAGAATCGGGGATAGGTAACCAACTCAGCTGCTGAAATTAGTTTGAAGTCCAACAAAAAATAGTCAATTCTGGAATATGATTTATGAACTGACGAAAATAAAGAATAATCCCTATCTGTAAGGTGCGTCAGTCTCCAAATATCGGCAATGTTAAGGTTTGTCATCAATGTATTTAGACAGACACTGGCATTTGATTGTTGAAGTGACCTTGATAGCTGTTTATCTAAAAGAGGATCTAACGTACAGTTAGTCGCCTCCAACAATAACACTTGTATACGAGAAATTTGGTATGGTCTTAAATGCCCTTTGAAAAAATTATGGATAATCGCATGCGTCCATATAAATTGACGAAGGTTATTGGTATCAGATGCAGTGTACCAGCCACAATAATATACCGACCATTAGGATCTGAAATCGACAATGAGAAAAGTTTTTCCTTATCAGGATCGCTACCCCTCTCGCTTTTGCATCAAAATTAGACTGGTATATCTGACCGATCCAGCCGACTCGTAGTTTGGCCTGAGCTGAGCGTTTTAATGAGTTTCTTGAAGAAGCACTATGTCAGCGCTCAGTGATTTTCAGATGAGAAAAAAACCTTAGCTCTTTTCACGACATGACCTAAGCCATTGCAGTTCCAACTGACTATCATTATTCCACCAGGTCTACTCTGTGCCTGGTCACTATGTGGCATTTATTATTTTAGAGCAAATTATTGCTGTCATACAAAACCCAAAAGAAAAACATCCCGCTGTGCGGGAACTTGTCATGCCACCTGTACTAAAACCTGTACTAAAAGTGAACATAAAACACAGACCCCATCCCCCCTCCTGTCCCATTACTGAGTGACTTCCCCGAACGAAGCACTCCTTGACTAACACACAAACCTTAGGGTGCCTAGACATAAAGCCTGAACTAACTCGGCATCTATAAATGCTCCGCATATAAACAAATATGAAATAACACTTAACTCTCACGTTAGGGGGTAAGTGGGACTAAAACATGATTGGCTAAACAATGCTATATAACCAATAACATCTCACCCATCATTATGAGTCCCAATTTCAGATTTTCTAATCGAAAAGACATCAGCAGGAAATTCAAACACATTCCTGGCCTGTATATGGCCACTTAGCCGGTTGACACAGCAGTTCTGTATCCTCAGCCAGGGAGCTTGCTTGACAAGAACAGGTCGGCCTCTTTTGGGTTGTCAAACGTATGTGTTGAACCCTCGACTGTCACCTTAAACCGGGCTGGGAAGAGGAATCCATATCGGATGTTGGCCGCCCTGCATTTCTTGCGCAACTCTTCATAATCTTTCGGTTGGTTCCTCACATCCAAAGTAAGATCTGGGTAGAAAGACACCCTGGCTCCGTTGTAGTTAAGGGGGGACTTTTGACTAGCCAGCTTGAGGATGACATCCCTGGTCTGGGAATAGTGCAGCCGTGCAATGAATGGCCTTGGTGGTGCTCCCTTGGCCGGCTTCGTTGCCTGTGATCTGTGTGCGTGGTCGATCAGGATGGCCGTTTTGAAGTGTTCACTCCCCAGAAATGCCGGTATCAGCTCCGAAACAAATTCAGTGGGTTTCCCTTTCCAGTGTCCTCCTGGATCCCAAATATTCAGATGTTCGGGCGTCTTGAATGTGACTCGAGCATTTCCAGTCGGGCTTTCAGGGTGGTGTTGTCATTTTTGAACATTGTGCACTGTTTCTCTATGTCCTGTAGCCTGGCCTCGTGATCAACTGTCATCTGCTCGACCTCATGCACCCTGCCCTTGGTTGCCTTCACAGTTTCAGTCAAAGTCCCAATACTCTTTGAGATATCAGCCAACCTTGTGTCCACGTTCTTGCTTAGTGAGTTTATAGCGGCCAGTAGGTCACTTGGAGTAGGTTCTGTGGGGAGCTCTTGGGAGCTGGCATCTTCAGCAAAGTCCTCGTGGGTCGGCGATGTTGACATCGTTTCATTGTCTTTCTCTCATCCAAATGATCTCGTTTAGCGCCCCTCTTTTTTGGTGCCTTTTCACTTTGTCATATTGCCAGACAATGTTTGAAATTATAGGTGGTGAGAATGAAGATAAATATTAATTTGTTTCAAAATTGAGCGGAGCTCTAACAAAACACGTCTATTCCGTAGCACGCTCTCTAGCGCCTCCCCCCAACATTTTTTGTTGTTGTTGCGTGCCCAAATGAACACAACCCTGGTGTGTGTTCTGTGTTGCACTTGCTAGTGTGTGTGTGTTGCACTGGCTAATATGGGATACGTATATTTGTGTGTGTTTCAGAGGTGTCCAACCTGCTGGTAGTAACTAAGGACAGAGTGCTGATCCCCCAGACACCCCTGGAGGAGAGCCAACTCAGCTTCCACAGGATCCTCAAGGAGGAGATCTTACAGGTACAGTACCACACACACTCTACCAGGCATGTGCCCAGGTCTACCTGTGCCAAAGCACCTGCCCGTTTCCCTCAATCTCGCCAAGTGCCTTTTTGGGTGATGGTATATGCAGTGCATTCTGAAAGTATTCAGACCCCTTGACTTTTTGCACATTTTGTTTTATGTTACAGCCTTATTCTAAAATTGATTAAATTGTTGTTTTCTTCTTATCAATCTACACAAAATACCCCATAATGACAAAGCTAAAACAGGGTTTTTAGACATTTTTGCAAAAATAAAAACTATAAAAAAACTATTCACATTTACATAAGTATTCAGACCCTTTACTTAGTACTTTGTTGAAGCACCTTTGGCAGCGATTACAGCATTGAGTCTTCTTGGGTATGATGCTACGAGGTTGGCACACCTGTATTTGGGGAGTTTCCCCCGTTCTTCTCCCCCGATATTAAAATAGAATGACAAGCTGCTACTAATAACACAGGCCTATCGATACACTCGGGTTACCTTATTCCATGCAGCTGCATCGCAAGTCTTGGCTGTGTGCTTAGGGTCGTTGTCCTGTTGGAAGGTGAACCTTCGCCCCAGTCTGAGGTCCTGAGCGCTCTGGAGCAGGTTTTCATCAAGGATCTCTCTGTACTTTGCTCCATTCATCTTTCCCTCAATCCTGACTAGTCTCCCAGTCCCTGCCGCTGAAAAACATACCCACAGCATGATGCTGCCACCACCATGCTTCACCGTAGGGATGGTGCCAGGTTTCCTCCAGACGTGACGCTTGGCATTCAGGACAAAGAGTTCAATCTTGGTTTCATCAGACCAGAGAATCTTGTTTCTTTAGGTGCCTTTTGGCAAACTCCAAGTGGGCTGTCGTGCCTTTTACTGAGGAGTGGTCTCCGTCTGGCCACTCTACCATAAAGGCCTGATTGGTGGAGTCCTGCAGAGATGGTTGTCCTTCTGGAAGGTTCTCCAATCTCTACAGAGGAACTCTGGAGCTCTGTCAGAGTGACCACGGGTTCTTGGTCACCTCCCTGACCAAGGCCCTTCTCCCCCGATTGCTCAGTTTGGCCAGGCAGCCAGCTGTAGGAAGAGTCTGGGTGGTTCCAAACTTCTTCCATTTAAGAATGATGGAGGCCACTGTGTTCTTGGGGACCTTCAATGCTGCAGAAATGTTTTGGTACCCTTCCCCAGATCTGTGCCTTGACACAATCCTGTCTCGGAGCTCTAAGGACAATTCCTTCGACCTCGTGGCTTGGATTTTGCTCTGACATGCACTGTCAACTGTGGGACCTTATATAGACAGGTGTGTGCCTTTCCAAATCAAGTCCAATCAATTTAATTTACCACAGGTGGACTCCAATCAAGTTGTAGAAACATCTCAAGGATGATCAATGGAAACAGGATGCACCTGAGCTCAATTTCGAGTGTCATATCAAAGGGTCTGAATACTTATGTAAATAAGGTATTTCTGTTTTTTATTTGTAATACATTTGCAAATGTACCAACCTTTTCTGAGTCAAGATCACTTTCGCAGTCAAAAAGCAAGCCGAGATCTACCGCTCAGATTTTTCTTTTACATTACTTTAAAAATGTAAGCCTATGCAACATTAACCAAATAAAAACAGTTCTGTTGGAATGAGGTTTGTGCAGTAGGCCTAATACATTATCACAGCATATTGGCTATATGCCTGGCCTGCCAATATTGTTCTTCTCAGACCATATTATATTTCAAAACTCAAGCTTTGATAACAAAATAGATCAGTGGGTGTATCACTTGCGAGGCACAGCTGAGCATAAATTGAAATAATTAGCAAATAATTCGCCTTTTTAATTTACTGGACTGACGGTACATGCATCTGGTGGTCAGTCACAGCGGAGGGAGGGAGGGAGCAGCAGAGGGTCTGCCTCTCACGGTCCCTGCTCTCTCCTTTCCTCCGGTGAGACTGACCAGAAAGAGGGGACACCGTCTTCCACCTGATGGCGAAACTCGAGTCGCTCCGCATCTGCCTCATGCACAAATTCATGTTGTTCCTATGACCAGAGAAAGTGAAATATTCCTCGATATTAAAATAGAGATGACAAGCTGCTAATAATAACACAGGCCTATCGATACACTCGGTTACTTATTCATTGCAGCTGCAGCGCAAGTGGAATTAGGGAGACAGGTGCTGAATAAAAACTTAAACTTGAACTCACTCATAAAAACAGGTGCTCTTTGCTGTATTCTTTGAAAGTTTCTCTCTGGTCATAGTTTTTGGTCATAGTTTTAAAAGTTATGAAATCTCACGTAGGATAGTATCAAACTTTGCTGTGGGGTCGTGGAAGCTGTAGGTACAGTGATTTGAGCAATCCGATTGGCCAGCGTAGTAGGTGCACTTGATTTAGCCACAGTTCTCCTGGTCCACCGGGTAGGCGGTGTTTGTCCCTTCAGACAAATGAAATGGTTAAAAATGGGAACACTTTGCCTACCCGGCGTGCAGGGCTTCTGAATCAAGTGCACCTACCGCCAACAGCGCAAGTCTTTAACGTTGGCTTTTCTACAGAAATGTTTGGTGATCGACTAGGAATGCCTTGAAGATCGACCAGTCGATCGGCCAGTTGGTGACCAGTTGGTGGCCACTGGCCTAGACTCTAGCTAACCATATACAACAAATATCCACATGCCACTAGCCAGCCAGCCATATATCATGACTTAGAAGATTATGAATATTATATTATGAAGTTATTATTTAAGAGCATTGAAGATAAATCACTATCAGTAAAGAAAAGATGATTGAGCTAGCTAACTAGCAGATTTACATCAATCATCAATATCAATGATCAGCTGATTGCCCACCCTCTAGATCTTTTCCAGATGTAAATCATGTCTTTAGGAAGCACTGTGACTAGCTTGTTTACAATTTGTGATGATGAGTATGAAGCATTCGTTCTTCACCGAGCTCCGGAGGGCCGCACTTAAAATTGATTTTATTTCCTCGCTGTCAACATTTGTTAAATAATAGTCCTCTATCCATCGCTTTTGGAATGTTCTGTCGAGCTTTCTTTTTGATGACTGTTAGCAAGCTGGACAGAGTGAAAAGACTATAAATGTAAGTTCTATTATCATTTCTAAACAGTTTCTATTTGGGTTTTAGTCTAGCATATACCCTATCAGTCACATCCATCCATCGGCTGAACGAGCCTTTGTCAATCTCTTTACTTTTCTAGCCTCTTTAATCCGTCAGTGTTTTCTTACTGGTGTTGGTCACCAGTGTGTATTTACGATGTGCGTATCTCGTGTGTGTATTGACTAACTGGCTTTCCTCTCCCTCCTGCCTCTCTCAGGGAGAGCACCTGGGGCTGGGTACTCGGACCAACATCTATGCTGGAGTACTGAAGGTGAAGAGTGCGGAGGATGATGATTTTGGATACTATTCCTCTCAGGAGCTCAAAGTAGTGCTGAAGGTGCTGGGCTCCGGACACAGAGACATCTCCCTGGTAAGACACACACACGTTTTACATCCTGTGAGATCTTGAGGGACTACCACAAGAAGAGTAACTTCTGAGAATATGTGAATGATGTTCTGTGGCAATATTCTGCCACATTAGCTAACTCTGACTCTCTCTCCATCTCTCTCCCCCTCGCTCTCACCTCCCTCTCTCCCTCTCTCCTCTCCTCCCTCTCTCCCCAGGCCTTCTTTGAGACAGCCAGTATGATGCGGCAGGTCTCCCATAAGCACATCGCCCTGCTCTATGGAGTCTGTGTACGTCACCTGGAGAGTGAGTACACACACACACCCTACACTGCCACAGTAACCTACATGACACATCTAAACCTTAAACTCACTACTTAATCTATCCCTCTGTTACTGTAAGAAGTGTTAATACAGGACCTACGCTGTTAGTAGATGTGATAGGACTTGCCATTATGTACACAAATAGCGAATTCCCCATGAGCTGTTGACCCAGTATTGAATAGTACATTGACATACTATACAGTACTGTCTTAACACCTGTCCAAACAGGTTAGTGGAATATGTTTGATATGAATAGGTTAATGTAGTAATGTACAGGTAACTGCCAAAATAATTGAAACACCATCATAAAGTGTCTTAATAGGACATTGGGCTACCACGAGCCGCCAGAACGGCTTCAAGGCGCCTTGGCATAGATTCTACAAATGTCTGGAACTCTATTGGAGGGATACGGCACCATTCTTCCACGAGAAAATCCATAATTTAGTGTTTTGTTGATGGTGGTGGAAACCGCTGTCTCAGGCACCGCTCCATAATCTCCCATAAGTGTTACATTTGGGTTGAGATCTGGTGACTGAGACAATCACACACACACACACACACACACACACACACACACACACACTTTAACCCCCCTATGCTCCTTTGAGACCTCTCTTTCAGAGTCACTGAGATCTCTTCTCTTAGCCATAATAATGGGCAACTGGGCATTTTTATACACAACCCTAAGCATGATGGGATGTTAGTTGCTTAATTAACTCAGGAACCACACCTGTGTTGCAGCACCTGCTTTCAATGTACTTTGTATCCCTCATTTACTCAAGTGTTCCCTTTATTTTGTTACTTTTAGGTGTTACTGTACTGGTTCCCAAAACACAAGACAAACCAGTCTTTCTGTTGTGGTAGCCAGCAGGCAGAATATGCCCTGAGTGTGGGTGTATTGACTGTCTCTCTCTCTCTCTCCCCCAGATATAATGGTGGAGGAGTTTGTCCAGTTAGGTCCGTTGGATCTGTTCATGCGGAGACAACACAGTCCTCTCAGTACACCATGGAAGTTCCAGGTGGCCAAACAACTGGCCAGTGCTCTCAGCTACCTGGTAAGAGACACTAAAGAGAAATAGATTGGACTATCTGCAGTGACCTTATCTTGCACTGACTATGTACACTCACAAGACTATACCCACACACACACACAATGACGCCACACACACACACATAATGACGCCACACACACACTTTCACACTCATCATATGCTGCTGCTACTCTGTTCTTTATTGTACTCCTATGATTATCTATCCTGATGCCTAGTCGCTTTCTCCCTGCCGATATGTGCATATCTACCTCAAATACCTCGTACTCCTGCACATTGATCTGGTACTGGTACTCCCTGTATATAGCTTCATTCCTATGTATTTTATTCCTCTTGGGTTATTATTATTTAACTCTGCATCGTTGGGAAAGGCTCGTAAATAAGCATTTCACGGTAAAGTCTACTACACCTGTTGTATTCAGCGCTTGTGACAAATACAATGAGATTTGATCTGGCGCTCTCTCTCTCTCTCTGTGTTTGTAGGAGGATAAGAAGCTGGTGCATGGCTTTGTGTGTACCAAGAACATCCTGCTGGCCAGAGACGGAGTGGACAGTGAGGGAGGACCCTTCATCAAGCTCAGCGACCCTGGCATACCCATCACTGTGTTGACCAGAGAGGGTAGGACTTCATTGAATCATTTTGTGTGGCAAATTATGCACAATGAGTGCAAGACAATCATCATATTACATTTGAGTTCTTATCCAGAGCACCTTATCTTATTTTGCAGAGGTTTAGGGATCCACTTTGAGCTTTGACAGGACAAGGGCCCAATTTGAGATCATAGAAATATGAAGCCTACATTGTAGAATGTAATGTACAGTATATTGAGTTCTGAAGTGTTTGTGACCCAGGAGAATGTCTTCACAGTATTTAATATATGCCATTTTAGCAGACGCTTTTACCCAAAGCAACTTACAAGTCATACAGTATGTGCATACATTTTACGTATGGTTGGTCCCGGGAATTGAACCCACTATGACGTGGATGTTGATTTAAGGCAGGCCCCCTCACCTCTCTGATTCAGAGTGGTTGGGTTAAATGCGGAAGACACATTTCAGTTGAATGCATTCCCCTCTCCCCGTATAGTGTATACAAACACATATTGTGTGCCTAAGGCTGTGTTTGTGCCACTGCAGAGTGTGTGGACCGTATTCCATGGATCTCTCCAGAGTGTGTGAAGGACTCTGCCAACCTGAGTGTAGCAGCTGATAAGTGGGGCTTTGGCACAACACTGTGGGAGATCTGCTATGATGGAGAAGTGCCCCTCAAAGACAAGAAACTCACCGAGGTACACGCACGCACACGCCTTGATCCACTTGAAGAATACTACGAATACACATCTGTAACAAAAGTATTGCAGTCCAACCCCACAGAGTAATACACAGTGCTTGACTTGGACTGAAATAAGTGCCGGTTCTCATTTTGGTTACCGGTACTGTTTATATTTAGGTGCAGGAGCTCAAGCAGTAGAACATTTGAGGTGTCGGTACTCAGCTCCTGTGAGCTCCTGCCCAAGTCAAGCACTGGTAATACATACCCTCAAGCTTGCTCTGCCTTGATAACTGATGAGGTTTCTCTCTCTCACTCCCCCCTGAGTAGAAGGAGAGGTTCTATGCAGCAGAATGCCAGTTAGCTATCCCAGACTGCAGAGAGCTGGCTGAACTCATGACCCACTGCATGACCTATGACCCTCGCAAACGCCCCTTCTTCAGGGCCATCGTCAGAGACATAGACACGCTGGAGGAACAGAGTACGTGTTTCTGTGTGTGTGTGTGTGTGTGTTAGTGTTGTCACGATACCAGTATTGCGATACTAGGAAGTAAGAAAGAAAGGAAAGGAAACCGAACATGAAGCAGACTTCATCTCTTGAGGAAAACAGTCCTAATGTTGATAAAAACCTGCCCTATGTTGTCATCCAGAGTCACATGTGTTTATTTTACAAGCTATAGCACATAATATATGACACATAAAGTAGGTGTTTAAAGGACTGTAGAGTTTTTAGTCTACATTGTGTTTTATTTTTTGCCAAGGAAATCGCAATACTGGTGTGTACGTGCGTGTGTCTGTGCACAAGACATCGTTGTATGAGTGTATGACACGTGGGAGGAGCTGTGTGTGTTTGTGTGTGCATACGTATCTGTACGAAGGCTCTGAGTGTATGCAGGAAGTAATGTGTTGTCATTCCCCTAGCTACTCCCTAGCTCCCTAATCCCTAGCTCCCTACTCCCTAGCTACACTTCCTGGACCCCAGGAAGAGTAGCGGCTGCTTTCGCAACCGCTAATGGGGACCCTAATATAAAATGACAAATACCTCTGTAAGGTACCTAGCTAGAGAGAGAGCTTGCAATAGTGTGAATGAATGTTGTAGAGTTTACTTGGTTCACTCTCACACATCTCCCTCTAAACTCGACCCCTTGGATATGCATATTGCCCTTAATACTCCCACACTGTGGCCAGAATGAGGTACTGCAGTCATGTCGCAGTTGGTATGCTGCGACATGACTGTTGGCATCCATCACACTGGTGTGTTGTAGCTTAGCGGGATAAACCCACTGTATAAGTTGTCAGTGTAACAGTGTATGTCCTTCCAACAGACCCCTCTATCAAGCCTGCGCCCACTCTGGAGGTCGACCCCACTCTGTTCCAGAAGAGGTTCCTCAAGAAGATCAGAGATTTGGGGGAGGTAACACACACGTTTCTGTGTTTTGAATGCGTCAGAGAACGAGTGTGTATATGCAGTTATCGCTGCGTGTATGATGTGGTCTGAGTGTTTTCCATTGTGTATTTAATTGACAGTGCATATGTACGTGGGTTAATAGACTGTGTGTTATGATATGGGTCTGAGTCTTTTTAGGCTGATGTGATTGACTGTCTGTGTGTGTAGGGTCACTTTGGCAAGGTGGAGCTGTGCCGGTATGACCCCAGAGGGGACCGGACAGGGGAGCTGGTAGCAGTGAAGAGTCTAAAACCAGAGAACAGGGAGGAGCAGAGCAGCAACCTTTGGAGTGAGATAGGAATCCTTAAAGAACTCTACCACGAGAACATCGTCAAGTACAAGGGCATCTGCCAGGAGGAGGGTGAGCGAGAGAACGCATAGCCCTGCCACACGCACACAGACATAGACACACACGCAGGCACGTACACAAACACACCTGTGTGGAGTCTACTCAAACCTCTATCTGTGTATGTGTAGGAGGCAGAGCCATCAAGTTAATCATGGAGTACTTGCCTGCTGGCAGTCTGAAGGAGTACCTCCCCCGCAACAGAGGACAGACCAGCCTGAAGACCCTGCTTAACTACGCTGTCCAGATCTGTCAGGTACAACAACTGTCTAAACTCTAACCCTAGCTTTGTGTCCACATCCAGGTTCAACTCTAACCCTAGCTTTGTGTCCACATCCAGGTTCAACTCTAACCCTAGCTTTGTGTCCACATCCAGGTTTAACCCTAACCCTAGCTTCGTGTTCACATCCAGGTTCAACCCTAACCCTAGCTTTGTGTTCACATCCAGGTTCAACCCTAACCCTAGCTTCGTGTTCACATCCAGGTTCAACCCTAACCCTAGCTTCGTGTTCACATCCAGGTTCAACCCTAACCCTAGCTTCGTGTTCACATCCAGGTTCAACCCTAACCCTAGCTTTGTGTCCACATCCAGGTTTAACCCTAACCCTAGCTTCGTGTTCACATCCCGGTTCAACCCTAACCCTAGCTTCGTGTTCACATCCCGGTTCAACCCTAACCCTAGCTTTGTGTCCACATCCAGGTTTAACCCTAACCCTAGCTTCGTGTTCACATCCCGGTTCAACCCTAACCCTAGCTTTGTGTTCACATCCCGGTTCAACCCTAACCCTAGCTTCGTGTTCACATCCCGGTTCAACCCTAACCCTGACCCTTAGCCCTGGTTATGGGAACATTATTTTGATGTTATGGATAGTTATATGATAGTTTTATACAGTTGAAGTCGGAAGTTTACATACACTTAGGTTGGAGTCATTTAAAATTTGTTTTTCAACCACTCCACAAATTTCTTGTTAACAAACTATAGTTTTGGCAAGTCGGTTAGGACATCTACTTTGTGCATGACACAAGTAATTTTCCCAACAATTGTTTACAGACAGATTATTTCACTTATAATTCACTGTATCACAATTCCAGTGGGTCAGAAGTTTACATACACTAAGTTGACTGTGCCTTTAAACAGCTTGGAAAATTCCAGAAAATTATGTCATGGCTTTAGAAGCTTCTGATAGGCTAATTGACATAATGTGAGTCAATTGGAGGTGTACCTGTGGATGTATTTCAAGGCCACCTTCAAACTCAGTACCTCTTTGCTTGATATCATGGGAAAATCAAAATAAATCAGCCAAGACCTCAGAAAAAAAATGGTAGACCTCCACAAGTCTGGTTCATCCTTGGGAGCAATTTCCAAATGCCTGAAGGTACCACGTTCATCTGTATAAACAATAGTATGCAAGTATAAACACCATGGGACCACACATCCGTCATACCGCTCAGGAAGGAGACTCATTCTGTCTCCTAGAGATGAACGTACTTTGGTGTGAAAAGTGCAAATCAATCCCAGAACAACAGCAAAGGACATTGTGAAGATGCTGGAGGAAACAGGTTCAAAAGTGTCTATATCCACAGTAAAACGAGTCCTGTATCGACATAACCTGAAAGGCTGCTCCACTGCTCCAAAACTGCCATAAAAAAGCCAGACTACGGTTTGCAACTGCACATGGGGACAAAGATCGTACTTTTTGGAGAAATGTCTTTGGTCTGATGAAACAAAAATATAACTGTTTGGCCATAATGACCATCGTTATGTTTGGAGGAAAAAGGGGGTCTTGCAAGCCGAAGAACACCATCCCAACCTTGAAGCACGGGGGTGGCAGCATCATGCTGTGGGGGTGCTTTGCTGCAGGAGGGACTGGTGCACTTCACAAAATAGATGGCATCATGAGGAAGGAAAATTATGTGGATATATTGACGCAACATCTCAAGACATCAGTCAGGAAGTTAAAGCTTGGTCGCAAATGGGTCTTCCAAATGGACAATAACCCCAAGCATACTTCCAAGTTGTGGCAAAATGGCTTAAGGACAACAAAGTCAAGGTATTGGAGTGGCCATCACAAAGCCCTGACCTCAATCCTATAGAAAATGTGTGGGCAGAACTGAAAAAGCGTGTGCGAGCAAGGAGGCCTACAAACCTGACTCAGTTACACCAGCTCTGTCAGGATGAATGGGCCAAAATTCTCCCAACTTATTGTGGGAAGCTTGTGGAAGGCTACCTGAAACGTTTGATCCAAGTTAAACAATTTAAAGGCAATGCTACCAAATACTAATTGAGTGTATGTGAACTTCTGACCCACTGGGAATGTGATGAAAGAAATAAAAGCTGAAATAAATCATTCCCTCTACTTTTATTCTGACATCTCACATTCTTAAAATAAAGTGGTGATCCTAACTGACATAAAACAGGACATTTTACTAGGATTAAATGTCAGGAATTGTGAAAAACTGAGTTTACATACACCTTAGCCAAATACATTTAAACTTCCGACTTCAACTGTATATAGGATCAATTCCTACCCTTCTGCTGCCTCCCCTCTCTCCAGGGAATGGACTATCTGGGATCTCGGAATTACATCCACCGGGATCTGGCAGCCCGGAACGTTCTGGTGGAGAACGAGAGCACAGTGAAGATCGGAGACTTCGGCCTGACCAAGAGCATCAAGGACAACGAGGGATATTACACAGTCAAAGATGACCAGGACAGCCCTGTGTTCTGGTGAGAGGACTGTACTACTGCTTACTACAGTTGTGCAAACACTTCTGGCCCTATGTCTGTGTTTTACCCCCCCCCCCCCCCCCCCCCCTAGAGTCGATTGACCCACCTGTACGTCAATCAAAGTATCATAATAAAAAAATCCCCATCAAAATCTGTCAGTTTAAGCTAGAGAAAAGTTTTTTTTTGCATTGGATGCTGCACTTCCGCATCTGCGGTGAATGTTGGCAGAGCTAGAGCGGTGTTTGTCAGACCATGAGACATCCCGAACATCTGTGTTCTCAAGAAACGTCTGTAGCATCTGAACGGTTTGACCTATAAAATATTATGGAAAGGGGAGACTCTCACGAACACGATGGTGTTCTCCATTTTGCTCTACGACCCCCACAAGGGTCATGGGACTCGTCTGAAGATAACCGGTACAGGATTAAAAGTGGAAGTATGAAGGTAGTTTTGTGCCCAAAAAAGGGGTTGAATATGTGTAAATAAAAATAAATCTCCTAGATATAGGACAAACACTTCAATGTGTTTCTCTGGGCTATAGTAGTAAAGACCAAATTCAATATTCTATCAAATCATTTTTTTAAATATTTTTGTTTATACCTAAAGGGGTCCTGAAATTCAAAATCAAATAGCTAAATGATCCATAATATGACCATCTTAAAACAATTCCATATGTCAGCTTATAACCCCCCACGAGAGTTTAAGTGTCTTTGTGTAGATGCTTTACAGACAGTGTGATGTATGTTGACGTGTTCTCTCTGTCTTCCCATGTACCAGGTATGCCCCTGAGTGTTTGGTCCACTGTAAGTTCTACCTGGCCTCTGATGTCTGGTCCTTCGGTGTCACCATGTACGAGCTGCTCACCTACTGTGAGACCGCCATCAGCCCCATGTCGGTCAGTACACACACACACACACACACACACACACTCATGCAAGCACGTGCACGCACACACACACCTAGGCCTGGCAGCACAGCCTTCCATTCCCTGATTGAGGCAGGTGGCGCCAGTCTATTCCCAGTGTGGCTAATGACTCGCCAAGGGGCTCTGCCCACTCCTGCCAGCCTGTGCCATCACACACACACACACCCCCCCCCCTTCCAACTCCCTGATTGCTCAGACAAACTATCCCAATATATCCTCCCTAATCCACACCATGTAGCCATGATTATTACATATCCATTAAGGCTTATTCATACACTTTACCACATTGTTCAATTCACAGAAACTGGTAAACTCTCATCTGAATTGATAGCTAATAAATTGCTATTATCATCTTATATGTTGTAGTTGCCAACATTAAGAGACTGCTTTTAAATAGGTTCTAGAATTGTAAATGGAATGCAGTGTTTTAGTTTTACTATTTTCTTCGGATTATTGGTGACCTTGGCTTGGTCACCATAACAATACATCAACAATACAACTCTATAGGGCTCCGTCGGGCCGCAAACATGGGGTGAACCATTCATTCAAAAGATTAGAAATCACTTTTAAAAAACAGTGATGTGTGAAAGAAAAGCCAAGGGTACAAGACTGTGTACATACTGTACCAGAGTTAGGGGAGAAACAAACTACTCATCCCATGCAGCATTGCGGTCTGTATCGTCCAATCACAGAGCAGATACAAGCCACTGGAATCGTTCCCAAAGATGGTGGATAAATAAGGTTTACTCAGGCTGTTTACCTTTTTAAAAAAATTGGGAAGGTTCCTGTCTGTGTAAGTGGCCGTTTCCTCTCTCGCGTGAGCATGCTTTTCCTGCGTGCGCTCACGTTTCCTCAATAATATCTGGCGCGAGAGGGAACAGCTACTTATTGTCCCCTCCCGCTTGCCCTACCCGCCAGAAAAAAGGAGCCAGTGGGGGCACCCCCTCCGTGGAGTGGGGTGTCTTGCTTTCTCTACAGTCTCTGGTGTTCCTTGTAATTTTTTTAAAACATGGTAGTTGTTGGTTGGGCGATGTGTTGTGTTTCCAATTTATGTTAGCTAGCTAAGTTACTAAACACCCCCAAAAAATTATAACAAAAATATATAATAATTACCATACACAGCACTAAAATAAACCATGAGTTCTGTTAGCGAACACATGATGGCACTCGATAGCACTGTCACAGGCGCAAGTAGAATTTGTTCTTTGCATTATAATCTCCCATAGGCAGGTCACAGTTGTCCATATTACGTGAGATTTTACCTCTTGTTTAGAGTCGCGTTAGAACAGACCCAGGGTCTGTTTCTGTGGCAGCAGAAACACTAAGGCTCATGGTTAGTGTAGTTTTTGGTGCTCTTTAAAACCAGGAAATGGCTGTAAAAGCATGACATCTCAACACAGAGGTTGAAACATTCATAACCGATGGGCACTACATCAACATAGGAATTGTTTTGCGATCTCGGATGAAAACAGAACGTCTGTGTTGCACAGTAATATCGCTATCACTAATATTTAATATCACGATGAGTTACGAGGATTGAAAAATCCACTTCCCGAACCTCTCGTCAGAGCCCTCTGTCAGTCCTGTCTTCACTGGCTAGATGGGAGGGGTCATTTTGTTTCATCATGTTTCCATGGCATCTCATCTCTGCTCCCCCTCCCCCCTCTTTGTCCCACAGGTGTTTCTGAAGATTATTGGTCCTACTCAAGGCCAGATGACTGTGACGCGATTGGTCAATGTGCTGGAGGAGGGGAACAGGCTGCCCCGCCCTGATAGTTGTCCTGGAACGGTAAGATCTACCAGAGATATTAGAGAAAGGGGGAGATATGAATCCCATTGGGAAACAAATGGAGGAACGTATAACAACCCACCCAGCAGACTGTCGATCCAATCGCGTTCACGTTGTCATGCTGCATCACGCGGTTGCTAAGCTAATCGTCACGCAATCCCTTCTCAAAGTCAGGGAATGAGTCGAGAAAAGTGCCTATTTTCCTCGAAAGTACGTAACGTCACAATTCCAAAACTATACAATATTACATATAGCAAGTGAATTATCTTACATCTGTGGCCTCCCGAGTGGCGGAGCGGTCTAAGGCACTGCATCGCAATTTAAAGGTAATTTCCTATTGAGCTGACATATGTAGCGTTTACCATGAATGCAGTCTCAGCTAACACGGGAACATTGCCTTTAAATCTCAATCACGCTGTAACGCTGAACTTCCGCGATATGGATTGATAGAGCCCTAAAATAATTTGGCAATACTAGAAATTGCATGACAAGAAATCTTTGTGTGTAATCTGACTGTGTGTGTGTGTTGCAGGTGTATGAGCTGATGAGGAAGTGCTGGGAGAGCACCCCCGAGAGGAGGATCACTTTCAAGAGCCTCATCGATGAGTTCACCCGCATGCTCGCCAACAACAGCCTGTAAAACATGGCAACCACCGCCACACCACGCCTTACCTACCACAGAGACAATCCCAGGAGTAAAGAGTGAAAGGTCAAGGGTGACCTGGAATAAAAACTACATGTATTGGAATCAGTGCTACAAGACACTTTATTTCACGCCGTCGCTGACTTCCTCTATGTTTTAACTTTTTTTTTAAAGAGATACTATAGATACCATAATATATGGATGAATAAACTATATGGATGCATAGCATATAGAATGAAACACATCCCAACTCGTAGCTTTGACCCCTCACGGTATGTGACACTGACCCCAATCACGGTGACGGATGAATGAGCCCACTAGCCAACCACTGAGCTGTCCATCGGCTGATATGTCACCTCTGTCACCTGGGAGCTACCACAGTGTGACCTTTCACCTTTTATTAGAGCGCATCAGCTCCGCCTTTTTCATGTTGCCACATACAGTATGTACTGTGTGTATGGACTTTTATCATTATACCCAGAGAGGGAAAGAGGTCCTCAGTTGGACCTGTATACGATGGACCTTTCTCCGTGAAGGATCATGGTATATGTGAGCTCCTTTGTGAAGGATTGCTGCGGCCACAGAGAAGATGACACTGTGAAAAAGACATGTATTTAAGTGACCAGGATTCTGACATCCACACCCCACTCCATCTAACCAGGGACTGCATGGATCCAAGCCACCTCCCTGTGAATGGTGAAAGATGTGTGGGATACAGGATACTGTAGCAGTGGGTTGGATTGCATTAGGGAGAATAGAGGGGTGATGACAGTATCAGTCAAGCCCAGCCAGCTGCACCTCCCCTTTTAAGACCGAACCTGATGCACCTCCCCTTTAAGAACGAACCTGATGCACCTCCCCTTTAAGACCGAACCTGATGCACCTCCCCTTTAAGACCGAACCTGATGCACCTCCCCTTTAAGACCGAACCTGATGCACCTCCCCTTTAAGACCGAACCTGGTGCACCTCCCCTTTAAGACCGAACCTGATGCACCTCCCCTTTAACACAGAACCTGATGCACCTCCCCTTTAACACAGAACCTCTGCCTCAGCAGAACCCTGGATGGGAAAACTGTAGAACCACCTCGGAACTCTGGTGTTTCTTCCATCGTGATGTTCCACGTTCTGTTGTTGTTGGATGAAATGATTGAATAACATGTATGTGTAAATGTATTTTGCAACGCTCGCGCACGTAACACGAGCGGTGTGGTCAGCATGAAAGAAGAGCCTATAAAAGGTCTGATTTGAGACCAGTTAGCAGGTAAAACCACAGAAATATAATTAGCGGAACATGTTATATACCTGTGAGGGACACTTGAGGGCAGTATAGCTTTACCATATATATTTTATCCTAATCTTTACTGTACTCTGCTCATATTTCTAAACCGCTTCTTAATTACAGCCATAATGTGTATGTCAGATATTTCATTTGTCTTTTAATTGAATATATATATATATATTTTTTTAATCCTACAGAATGACATTGTATAGATGGACAGAAGAAAGAAGACAAGAGAAACATGCTGACCACACGCGCGGATGTTGATTTTGTCCACACCAGACGCGATCAGGACACGCAGGTTGAAATATCAAAACGAACCAACTATATTAATTTGGGGACAGGTCAAAACACATGAAACATTTAGCTAGATAGCTTGCTGGGATATAAACATTGGGTTGTTATTTTACCTGAAATGCACAAGGTCCTTTTTTTCCTGGATCTTTGTAGAATTTGGACCCATTTGGACCCGCACGTAACACGAGCGATGTGGTCAGCATGAAAGAAGAGCCTATAAATGGTCTGATTTGAGACCAGTTAGCAGGTAAAACCACAGAAATAGAATTAGCGGAACTTATGATAGATTTCATTAAATGAATGTCACCCATCATACATGGCGGCCAGTAAGGCCAACAGCACTTACAGGTATCTTTACATTATGCAAACACAAACAGTAGCACTCGTTAAAATGGGAAAAGGTGGAAAATGTGATATTGATAGGAACATTCAGATTCAGTTTTGCTATCAGGAAGAGGCATCCGATGTATTGAAAATGTGTGTAAAGCAGTGGCTTTACTTTGCAACAATCAACATGTTATTGAACTAGTGAATTCTATCCTTTATATTTCTATGGTTTTAAACTCGGGACAGAGAATGTGTGCTCTCAGACAGGGAGCCAGAGAATGAGAGTTTTTTTTTAGTCCATGTTTATTCCGGAATGTAAAAGACAATTCTTTTCGCTCATAAAGGAAAGAAAACAAATATATTTTTCAGAGGAATAAGACAATAAATAAATGCACAATATAAATGAATAAAATTACCCCCCCAAAAATGTATTGTGTTCGGTGTGTCAAATTCCAAAAGTGTCAGATGCAATATTAACTAGATTTAGTTTTTCTAGATTACAGCAGTAAATATGCATGCTAAAATTCAATTGCTTCTAGAAATAGCTTATTCACAGTAAAGCAATATCAACGTAGTTGTGATATAAAATATTGCAAAATCTACAGTAGAGATTTCTGGTCAGAAAAAAATCCACATACTTTCAAAGAAAACAGTACAAAGCAAAAAGCACACCCAAACTATGTCTACAGCTTTTTAAATGTTCTGTTCAGTCTTAAAGACTTCAGTATTGCAACGCTTTGTGATTTCACACACACACACAGTTCATATGGTTCAGTACCCTAGGTGCAGGTCACTCTGTGTGCTCACCGCTATGCACCTTGCCGACAGACAGGTCAACTAAAGCCGTTTCTCCTACAACACTGAGTAGTTCAGGGGTAAAGAACCTTGTTTACAATCAATATAACTATACGCCTGGTTGGCAACATGCAGATATAGGCACAACAGATATATATGGGAGACTCCCTAACCCAACCCTTCAACCTCTGGTCAGGTCACTGGTTCTAGCAAAGCTAAAAGCACTCAAGATGAGAGATGCTCAATTCTGGCCCTTGAGGCCAGTTACACTGCTGATATTCATTCTTCCCCTCAAATCAGGGATTTATTTAAAACTGGCACATCATACAGTGTATATGCAAGACTATAGGGAATACTATAGGAGACAGACAGGGAGATGTCCTGCAGAGGTAAAGAGGTAACGGTGCTGTGATTTATCAGCCCTATTATTAAATGGTAACAGACCTGTCCTGAAGCCTACTGTAGGAGCCCTCAGCTGAACGCTGGACACACAGCCAACACCCATCAGCCAGAGACCGACCAGAGAGAAAGAAAGGAATCAAAATGGAACGACAGTGCCAATAAACGCAGGCTGAGCTAGCAGCAGGAGCTGTTTTTTTCTCTGTCACTGTCCTCTCTGTTGTCTGTTCCCCTCATACCTGCCAAAAGCAGGTTATTAACGCACACATACACTCATTCACACACACACGCACACAAAGCACAGACTAGACTGAATAACTATAAAAACCTATGGACCTGCTATAGGCAAAATGTGCAGGTCAAAATCACTCTCACACACAGAGCTCTGCGTAGCACTGTGGCACACGCGGTAATGGCAGAGTGGGGGGAGACTGTAGAGAAAAGCTAATACAACTGAAACACTATTAAAAACAACACAGACTGGCCTAAAGTGTCTGAATACACGGCAGACAGACATGATTTACTGCCTGGGTCTGCCTTTTACAGCCACTGACTGAGACAGAGAGACTCCTACAGTCTCACACACACACAGAAAGAAAGAAAGAAGCTACACACACTTCTAAGCTTAGCTTTTTAAAGAAGTTGTGGGAGAGAGCAATCAGCTGGCTGGAAAAAACAAGTCCTACTGGGCAGTTCACACAGACACTCGCTTGCACACACACACAGTAAAACGAAAACTGTGGCTTTAAGCCAGTGTAACAGCATTGAAAGGGGTTTAAATATGTTACAGTCACACACTAATATATTTAAGAGATGCTTCGCCCGTTGAGAGCATGACAAATGACAGCACTAAACACATCAGCGCTTCAAATCAAGTCACGTGACACAGGAGAACGCAGCCTCTTCAACTCAAGAGTGAAGGATGAAAACAGAGAGATTAGAGAGTAGGTAGCAGATAAAGCGAGAAAAGGAGAGGAAGAAAGCGACTGGCAGGTTGATTTATTGTAGCACACTACACATAGAGAGGTAATGAATGCCCTTGTATGCCCTCGTGTTGGCATTGCTATTTGTTGGTTCAGTAGTTGTTGTTATTGCCTGGGTCTCAGGCTGAATACTTGTGCCAGCACTTAACATGGTGCTAAAGCCCTCATCCATGCCCTTTCCTGGGGCCTTCATACCCCCTCTGTCAGATCACCAGGGTTGGGTTCAGGGCCTTTTCACTTCCATTGTACCACATGAATCTTAAGGGGATTCATTGAAATTCGATTCATGGCTTGATGAAAATTGCTGATTTATTATTACATAGACTTCTGGATTTTTTATTCCTGAATTGACTGATTCAAAATGGAATTGATTCCAACCCTGGAGTCCACAACATCTCTGAGATAATTCAACATGGCTACTCTCCTGAATCTTTCATTTCTAATGGCAGCTTATTAAGCAGTATTAAAGTGTCGGTTGGTTTATTTGTGTCTCCAGAGCCCTTCCCGTCCTGAAAAGTCCACCGCATTTTAAAAAAACAGCAGGAAAAGAAGAGAAGAACCTGGGAAAATCTGGGAGATCTCCTCCTGCGTAGCTTATTGCGTTTAGCGACTGAGCCAATGTTCCATGGCCCCTACAGAAAACAACAGCCATTATAAACAGAGGAAGGCTTCAATCCTGTAGCTATCACAAACACAGGGCAATAAGAAGACGGCCTAGGAAGTGTCCATCAACTAGCTAGTTATAATACATGGCTGTATTGGTACAAAGAAGTGTCCACTCAGTGACTTTTATAATGGCTATAAGATACCAAGTTAGGTGTCCATTCATTTGCTAGTAGACCAGCCCAGCCTTTAAGTGTCCATTAGCATCTGCCGAGTCCCCAACAAATCGGATGTTCCGGTTTTCAGGGGA